CCCAGTTTCCCCAGTCTCCCCAGTCCCAATTTCCCCATTCCGGGCTCTCCCCACCTCAGGCCCCTCAGTCCCGGCCCGGCAGCGCCCCCTGGCGGCCCGCGGCTCACAGCCCCGCCAAGGCCCGCCCTCTGACTCCGCCCCCGCCGCTGATTGGTGAGAGCGGCCGAGGGGCGGGCAGAGGCCACGCCCCCATGGTTATTGAGGGGCTGGTGGGGAGCCGTGCCAAGATGGCAGCCGGGCGGGGAAAGGGAGTGGGGCCGGTACTGGAGCGGCGGGGCTGGGGGTCCCCGCGTACCTCGCCCTCTACTTCTCAACCCTGGAGGAGGCGGGCAGCTCCGGCATCCTCCGCCTCACCGGGATGCAGCTGCGCGACCACCCCAGCAGCGACACCGCGGCAGGAGGTGAGGAGGCTCCGGCAGTGACGGGGACGGGGCGGTGCGGGGGCCGTGAGGACACGCAGCGGAGGCGGCCCTGTGGTGGCAGGGGAGGGCTGGGATGGGGGACACCTCACGGGGAGCGGGGTCCCGGTGTGAGGGGACAGCGGGAGAGCTCCGCCTTTGGGAGGCTCTCCCTTCACGGGCTCTGGAGGGTCCGGGGACTCCGTTTCTCTGTTTAAGGATGGGACTGGAAGCTGTGTCCGGCGTGAGGGCAACTCCTGAGTTGGCGCTCGGGGTAATCAGAGCTCCGAGCTGAGGCCGGGTTGGACCTTCGGGATTTGGGATCCCTTGCAGTGAGGCGATCCCGGCCTGTCCTTCTCAGCTCAGCAGGAACGTGTTCCAAGTGCGGATGAGGGGATGTGTGAGAGTGGCAGATGGCAAAGGGATACCTTGGACAGCTGCACAAGTCAGGCAAAATAAAGCCATCCCATACAGATCACTCTGCTGGTGGGAAAGCCCAAATGAGCAAATTTCTTCATAACATGCATGGAGAGAGGTCTTCACGTAACACTACATGAAATTCTGGAAAAGGAATCGTTTCTGAGTACTAATTATTTAAGTAATTTTTTTTCCAAATATATTTCCCAACAGATGGATGCTCGCGGAGAAGGGAAGCTGCTGAGGATAAGAAGATGACTATTGAAGCAGGGCACACTGCAAACATGATGTGCTCCTTCATGCTTGAAGCTGGATAAATGTCCCTGTCTCAGCAGGTGGAAAGTGAAACCCAGGCCTGGAGCAATTCTGGTGGTGTGTGTGGTTAATCCCCAGGCAGTGCTCTCCACTCCTCAGAGACTCACGGCATTTCTGGGCTTTGCTCTCTTTGTTTTGGTGATCTCAGTACCACGTTTTACGCTGAAGTGTGGTCTAAGAGCTCTGGAGCAGCTCTGAGTCCTGGTCCACGTTCATTGCTGGCATTTCTTGTCTGGGCAGTTTGGTTTTACTTGATGCCTTGTGCTCAAATGCTGTTCCTTACTCCTCTTGCTGGGACACTCAGTGGGTTGGGGCTGGGCCCTGCTTGGAGCAGAGAAGGTTGGGATTGCAAGGAGCTTCCTTTCAAACTGGGAGAACACAAGGGCCCTTATGAGACAGGCACTGAGACTGTGCCCAGTGCCTGGCAGTCTGCCTTTGTCATAGCTCCAGGGGCACAGTCTGCTCCTGCAGCCCCTCCTCTCTGCCTGTCCCCTGCCCCTGGGATCTGTATTTCCTGAAAATAAATGGAATTTCACCCTTCAAAAGTTTGCTTCAAAGTGACAGAGGAAAAGCTTAATAAAAATGCCAAGGTCATGTTTTCCTTGCCTCCTAAAATAATGTGACAGGTCCAATATCTGCATTATTAACTATCAGTGTGAGCTTGTTTTCTTTTTAGGAGCTTTCTGCTTTACCTGGGGCTCTTTTTCTGGTGCTGCACAAGCACATGGCTGCAGCCACTCCCCGTGGACAGCAGCTCTCTAGGACCAGTAGCTATTTATTGTCCTGGCTAAAGATGCCCTCTCACTGCAGAAATAGCTGTGTGAATGTTCCTCTCTTGGCAAACATCATATTTCGACAAAAGCCTCTGTGTTTTGCAGAAAAATCACTTTACAAAGGACATTTATAATTTTGTTTTGAACTGGAGCAGTCCTCAGGCTGAGCAGAGACAAGCAGGATTTCTCCCAACAGCCCCACTCTCCTCACCTGCCATTGGCAGTCCAAGATAAGGCTGCAAAGACATTGCTGCAAAATGTCACTAAAATCTTCGAGGAAGTGATTTAGCAGCAATAAAATTTTTTAAAAAAGGTGAATTTGATGGAGGTGGCATTTCATGCAGCAAATGACTTTGGTTTGTAAGTAAAAGCTAGTGGAACAGAGTGTGTGATCACTTGGTGTTAGGAAAAACCTCAAAAATAGCATGTTTGGCAAAAGTGACGAATTAGCTGCAATAACTGAGCTATCAAAGACAGTTACTGATGGGGTAATTTGAGTTATTTAAGTCTGTTCTGGGAAAATGAGGATTAGGAAGAGGCATAATTAAAATATGCAAAGCCAAAAGGGAATAGAGAATAGATATTAAGTCACTTTAAATTAGTAATTCATGAGAGGGTGGAAGGGAGAGAAATGGATGAAATTATGCTCTGAAAGGGCCCTGATATTCCATTGTTGCAAAGAGAAAAGCTATTCAGAGCCTGAGCACATCTTCTGTGCACACAGAAATTGGAGAGCTGTCCATGCACTGAGGGAGCCAATCCTGCAGGGTTCCCTCATTTCTGAGGTAATATGATTTTGCAGGGCCATCAGGAGTTTTCCAAGCTCTGTTTTCTGTACTTTGACAGCAGAGCTAAAGGAGCTTGACCAGGAGGATCCCTAGTGCTTCACTGTTAGGATTGTGAGAGGCAGAGTCTTTCCCCCACAGTGTTCCCTGGTGTGCTGAAAATTCCATCAGGGTGGGATTTACCTGTTAATCAGACAGCAGAGATCATTTCAGCAAGATGTTTTTGTTACTCGCCATCAAAAGTCCAGTGCAAAGCTCCTGCAGGCACTGTTTTGTCTGCCACTAGAAAAGAGTTTTGTTATGGAATCAAAAAACACAGTTAAGCCTTACATCATTACTCCATGGAAGCACAGAGTTGATTTCCAGATGAGTTTCATGCAGGAATAGGAGCTTTGCAGCAGGAGGAAAGTTGACATCTCACTGCATGTCAGGCTCCAAAATGAAAATGGAACATCCAGCTGGTCAAGAAGCTGCCTGGAACCATTCCAGAGTGTGAACCTGCAGCTGCTGCCTCTGTGATGTCAAGGGCCTATTGGGGTGTCAGTGAAAGGACAACCGGACACTGCAATGCAGAGCTCCTCAATGCCCCCTTTCTCCTGGCATTCCAGGAGGATCCTTCTCCTCCAGGAGCTCTCTGCCTGCAAACCAGCCAGGTTTTATCTGCTTGCTGGGTTATGCTGCTCTGCAAGTTCTAGCACAGCTCTGCAGAAATGATCCGGCAAATCAGTGCTGCAGCGTGTGATTTTCTGTCTGCCACATCTGCAATGTATTTTTATCCAGATAAACCCTGGCTGGCAACAGCTCATCTGGGGAGTAAGTAGTGCTTTTCCCTAGGTGCAGCATATCTGGCTTTGGGGTCACTGTGTTCTTTATGCTCTTCCTTAGGAACTGAGCTGATTTTGGAACAATGCCAGTAAGATGCCATTGGTTTGGTAGAGCTCCTGTCAACAGCTGTTAAGAGGGGTGTCTCAATGACAGCATTTGGAAAGTGGGGAACACTGGTGGGGGGGGTTCCATTCCCTACACAGAACAATCTGGGGAGTCTGTAATTCCCTCACTTTGCTGCTTCAGCCAGCTTCCAAAATGGAAGAGCTTGTCAGAAGTGCTTCTAGAAAGTGTGTCATTATCTTCAGAACTGAGGAAAAGCATCTTTTTTTTTGCCATAATTAAAGGATTTGACTAACAACTGTGCTAAAATAGTGATGATCTTCATGAGGAAATGTAACCTCCCAGCAGTGTGTGCTCCTGAACCCAGGAGCTGTTCCTGTGCGGTGTCAGAATAGAATTCACATGGCTAAGGGGGATTTTGGGAAAGCTTTTCTAGGGAAACATTTTCAGCGAGCTAAAGAGAGCCAATATACACAATTGATTAATAGGGAGAAAAAAAAACAACAAAAAACCCCTGCTTTAGCTCTTGGGTAGAGTTGGGCAGAGCAGAATCATTGACTATTAAAGAAAATTTACATTTTCTTGACAGAGTTTCTATTCATTTACTGGTGAAACAGCACAAAAAATAGACAGAAAAATGTAAAAAAGAATTAATCTGGTATTTTGTCCTGTTCTGTTGCTTACTGTGGAAAAGAACTGATGTTCCTGGAGGGATGTTGTGAAAGAAAATTGCTCTCTTATTTGGGCTAATTTGTTCCATGGGGGATTCCCCACAAGAGGCAGTTTTCTAACAGCATCTGGTTCATCTTCTCTTGCCCACTGCAGATCTGATCACCCAGTTATCCAGAGGTGGATACAGGGCAGCCCATCCTTTGGTGAGTGGGGGAGGAACCTTGGACATTCCTGGAGTTTAAGAAGTGTGGAGCAAGCTGTGAGTGAGCTTTCCCTGCTCCAACAGTGTGCCAGCCTGATAAAGTGTCCATGTCTGGTTTTGCAGCAGCAGCAAAGGGATTCCTGGCTGTTTCCTCAATTGGTATTCAAAGCTTTTAAACAGATGAAAGTCTGGTTTTGCAGGGAGAAGATTGTGGGTTTAGCTATGGTGGAATATCTAATTCACAGCAATTTTCAATACTGTATAATTGCCCCATTTTAGTTTAGTTTTAACAACTTAGAATTCTCTTTCTATCAAGTTTCACGATTTATCTTTAGTACAGCTGGATATATAGCTGAACATAAATAAAGTTTAATTGATAATGTAACTCACTGGAACTACCGAAAGGAAGTTTTAAATAACAATCCATGCTAATAAATGTTGGGTTGCAATAACAACCCTAGAGAGAGGAATGACACCCACATTAATATTGGCTAAATTTATTAGGCTAATATTATACATTTTAAATAGAGCACCAGTGAGTGTGAAGGTGTAGATGGTACCTTTGATTTGCTTCAATTCTCTTTGTGTCAGCTTTAAAGCAGTTGGGAAACAGCAAATTTGGGGCAACTTGATGTAATGCTCTGCCCCTGCAGAGCAGCAGCTGGGGCTGTTTCAACCCCCCATAATTTATAGATGTTTAAATTGTACTGTGACACGTGTAACAGGGAACTGAGGCTGTAGGACCATGTGCACGTCTAGATCAGTTTCTGATGTTGAAGCAACTGAAAGTTGTGTGTAACAATCAAACCTCGCAAATGGCAGAATGGAGACTCTCACTCATGTTCCTGACTGTCCCCAGGCCACAACACTGCCACCAGAACTTCAACTGGCTCCTTCCCTTCCTGGAGAAGAGGATAATGTCAAGGAGGACGTGGATGAGGAATTTGCAATTCTTGCTTCATCAGAATTAGTAAGTGCCAGCTTTGGTTACCATTGGTGCAATTCAGAGCTGCAAGTTTCTGCTCAGACAGCAGCTGCTATTCACAGCTGGAGGTGCTGAGGGCCAGAATCCTGCCATGACACTGTGCTTCACCCCAGCCACTGGCACCTGGAAAATTGCTTTTGAATTTGCCTTTTAGTCATCAGTTTCCCTTGCAGGATACAGGAGAAACTATCTCCTGGGTGTAACTGCTCCTTTTTCTCTTTATCTGAGAAAATCAATGAAAATTGAACATGAAACTGGCCATGAACTTGTGTAAAATCAGCCTTTTGTTTTTTGTTCATTCAGTTTATGATATGGACAGCAAAAACCAGTTTAAGAGCACTGGATGTGGCCAGCAGCATCTTCCTGAGGGTTTGCATTTGGAATATGAGCTCAGGGGATCCTGCAAGCTCCCTTCCTGACATAAACTTGTGAGGGCCGAAATGAGGGATGCAGGACTCCAGACTGGCTCTTTAAAATGTTGTTTATTGTATCCAGAGGATACAGCAATTTATTTATTATTTAAAATGTTGTTTATTGTATCCAGAGGATTTAACAATTCACGGGTCATGGGTGACAAGAGCCAAGCCCACAGCGGTCAGCCTCAGCTGTAGGCTCATCTGAAACTGCTCTAGTTCTGGTGACAATGCATTCTATACTTTTAATACATAACAACCAATCAATACTTTTACCTGTAGCCTATCATAACCACTATCATTACCATATTCATGTTACTATTTTTCCATTACAAAAGGTTAGTATGTTACAGTGTAAGCTAGAAGTTGTTTTCCAGTTTTCTTGCAGTGGAAAATTGAGACTTTTTTTCTACTTGTAACATTGGCATTCTTGTTTGCCTGTGAAATCTTTTTGCTTGGTAAAAACATCAGTTTGAGGTGGATTTATCCTTTGCTCTGAGCTATAAAAACCCTTTCCAACTCACATGCTAATGTACCCTTTGGCTTCTTAGTTATCCAGTAAGACTAGCTCAGTAATTCTTTTCTTCTATCTCAAAACTTGCTTTCATTTCTACTCCTTCTTCAGATTCTACATTCAAAGATCTTTCTGCTATATATACACATCTGTGAGACCTTCCTGTCAGAGCCCTATCCATCCCAACAAAACTAATTTCTCATCACAGATCCACACGAGCTCTCTGCTGGGAGCTGAAGGTACAGAAGACGACACATTTCTCCTGCCTGACATCCTCAGCAGCAGCAGGAGCGCTCTGGAGAGACCCAGGGTCCGGCCACAGCAGAAATCCCAGCTCACAGAGGAAGTGCTGGAGCGGCTGAGTACGTGTGGTGTGGTCTTGTCTGGTGTGTGCTCTGTGTGTCCCAGCCTGAGCTGCACCAGAGGGACAGAGGAAGCAGGAATTCTCTCTGGGCACTCCTGAGGGCAGCTCAGACTGGGTTCAGTTTCTCTACACTTCTGTCTGTGCTGAAGGCAAAAGCAGAGATGGTTTCTGATTCAGCACAAGGTGCTTTGACCTAGTGAATAAACTACTGAACTCCTGAGTGCTGACTGCCAAATCAAGCAGAATATTTGGGTTCCTAAATTCTCTTTAGTCCCCGACAAGTCATCGGAGCAAAAATACTTCACAGCAATCTCTTAGAGTGAAGGCATGGTCCTTCAAATGGCACAGGCAAGGTTATCATCAGAATTTAGCCTGGAAATCTATGATGAGGGTCCTGCATCTTAAAGCCCCATCATTATTGATTATAACATGAGCTGCTGTTCTGTAAAATCATAAAGACAATCTTTTGGCAAACTGCTGAAAGTTGGGAAGATCCCCTCCTCTCCTGGGAACACTTGGCACCGTTTCTTAAAAATTAATCCCAGATCCCAAGGAACATTTAGTCTTCAGAAATATTAAACCTTTTGTTGAATCACACAAAGTGTTCATCCCCAGGAAAATAAAGGCTGTGTTGTTCCAGCTCTCCTAAATCTTTGTAGAAAACAGACTCTTGCTTTGGTACATGATCTTTTCTGGTTTCTGCCTCCTGTGGATATTTCTCCAGGTGCTTTGTTTCCTGTCAAGGTAACTCTTCAAAGCATTGTAGAAAATCAGAAAATCTGTGGAGCCATCTGTGCTTTGGAGCTGTCTCTGTTGCTGCTGTTGCCCTCAGAGGGCTCACAGCCAGACAGTGGGGCTGCATTTCTGATCTGCTGGAAGGTGGTGTCTGTCTGAAGTGAGGATCCTGCATTTCATTTCTTTCAGGGGACATTGTGAACAAGGGGGACCCTATGACAAGATACACTGAATTTGTTCAAGTTGGTCGAGGGTAAGTCCAATCCCAGTTACTCCTACAAAGCCACAGGCCAGGCATTTTGCTGCTGTAATATCAAATGTGAAGCCAAGCAGGCTCCAAACATGATGTGGGTTAAGATCCTCCCATCTCAGTACAGATCAGAATTAATAATTGTGGTCAGAAGGTGTTGTCAAAGAAAACTCGATGCTGGCAGTACCTCACCTGCAACAAGGACCTTCCCTCAAACCTTAATGCCTAAAAGAGCACCTTACCACCCCACAGCTGTCAGATAAAAGTTCTCAATAACATTTATTTCAAGTATTTTGCTTAAAAATATTCAGGAATCCAGATTGAAACCACATAGTTTAGCCACTGAAACCAAAGGTGAAATAAGATCTCACACTGTCACACAAAACCCCACCCTGTGTAGTCTGCAGCATGCATTCCCTGGAAAAAAATACACACATGGACACAAAAAGAAGGGGAAAAAAACAAACAAAACAAGACAAAATGGAGAAAAAATTAAATATTTTTCAGTGTTTGTAGGCACACCTTCCCCCTGCTCTTAGGTTTTGAAGATCTGTGCCCCAGCTCTCATTCTTCAAGCTGGGCCTCAGTTTTCCCTTGGACATCCTGCATGACAGAGGCTGCTGTGCTGTTGTTTGAAGAATAGATGAACCAAGGTGTTTTAAAACACTTCATGCAGCACAGATCTCCTGTCTGGGCTGGCTTTCACTCCCAGCACCTAAACTGCTTCTCCTTTCTTCACTGCTCTTTTGTTTCCAGGGGTTTTGGGACTGTTTACAAAGCCATCGACCCAGCCTCAGGAAATGTGGTGAGTGCCAGCACCCCAGCACCTTGTGCAGCTGCTCAGGGCTTTCCCCTCTGCTGTGAGCTCTGCTGGAGCTTTGGGTGGCCAGTAGAGCTTTCCTGCACAGGGTGCTCCTCAAGCACAGAGCAGTGGCAGCCTGCAAAACACATCTTGGACAGACTTTGTTCCTACTCAGTATCAGAAAGAATGCAAGAGGGGCAGTGGTATCTTTCAGAGAAGGACATAATTAAGGCTTAAAATACCAGAGAATGGGTTATTTCTTTAGAAACCCAGAAAATAATTGCAAATCTGAACTGTGGTAAAGAATTGGAGTAGCAAAATCGAAGTTCAAGAACTGAGAAATGTTGTGAGATTGTAATTTTTTGGTGTGTGTAACTGCTATGGTCTTTTAGGGTGGGATTTTATCCATCATGTACACGTGTTTGCTTTGTTATGCAGCCAAGAGCAGCAGCAGTTGCTGAAATAATGGCCAAACCCCATAGAATGCTGGAGGATTCCCAGCTGTTTTGATACGTCTTCACAGTCACAAAATCCTGCTTGCAAAACCTGCATGCATAATAACAGAGGTGATAAACTGAGGCCATTGGGGAAGAATGTGGGTACAGAGTGTTGTCAGAGATCTGTGGGTGATACTTTAGGGAAATTTTTCTGGAGTTCAGAAGGCAAAATGTCTCTAGCAAGTGTCCTGTAAGTGGCACCCAAGCAAATGGAGAAATCAGCTGTTGTCCTGTCACTTCCTGAGCCCTGGTGTCTGATCATAAGGTCACAGGGCACTTGGCACAGTCCAGCCCCATCGTTCCAAAACCACTCTCTCCATGGTCATTGTGCTGTCCTGCAGCAGAACTTCTGCAGTCCATGGTCCCAATTTTGTCTCAGGTGGCCCTGAAGAAGATGCCTCTCCGCAAACGGAGCAGAAAGGAACTCATCGTCAACGAGATTCAGATCATGAAGGATAACAGGCATCCCAATATTGTCAATTACATAGACAGGTGAGTGGTTCTGGTGTTATCATGGGAATGTTCCTTCACACACTGCAAGCCAAAGGTTAAAAAACCCCTTTGGGCACTGGCAGAAGATGGAGCTCTTTCTTATTTCTCTATTCATCTCCAGTGGATGGCAGGAGATGGCCTTGGGTCTCCATTAATCTTTTCTGGTGTATTTAGCTGGAAACCCCTTTTCAAAAACCTGGATACACCAAGTCTTACTAAAACAACAGCCTGTCAGTTCATTACCTCTGTGTTGTTTTGGGGTTTTTTCAAGTTGATCATATTTTCTATGTCTTAATGACAAGTGCTGATAAACCATCATAGAAATTATCTCCCTTGGCCTGTTCCCACTATTTTCCATTGCTGTAGAAGCCAGAAAGACTAAATTCTCATTTGCAGAACCACATAATTTGCCAGCTTTTAAATAGTTTTTCCTGTTTCTGACTGTATTTTATGCAGTGTTTTCCAAATGGTTGGTCAATATCTGTCCTCAGTGGTGCAGAGCCTCCTCCCAAGGATAACTCTGGAGTTGAGTTGCCTTGTTCCTGGCATGAATGGTGGAAATGATAAATTAAACTAATGACTCAGTTGATGGCAAGTGTCCTGGTTCCAGATTGATCTCTGCTGTTACTAAACTGCATTTTTCTCATTTCCCATCTAAGGCATCTCCTTTCTCATTTAGACTGCTCGGATTCCAAATACTCTGTAGCCTACAAGGAATGTCTCTGTTTCATTCTGCCTCCATTTACAAGTGACCTGGATGGAAACAAAACTCCTCTGCAGTCTTTCCCACAAGGTAATTTAGCTGTGCACATTCATCTCCGTGCCTTTGTTTTCTTCTCTCAGCTACCTGGTGCATGAAGACCTGTGGCTCGTGATGGAATATGTGGATGGAGGCACTTTAACCAGCGTTCTTGTCCGAGTCTTTATGGAGGAAAGAATGATAGCTGCTATCAGCAAGGAGGTGAGGCACCCTGCTCGTGTTTCCAGTGGCTTAGACAGAGTGGAACAGGAGTGACTTTGTGTTCAGAGTTTTGTTTCAGTGCTGCCGTTATGAAATGTAAAATAAAAGGGCATCTAAATGAGCCTCCTGTCAGTACAACTGCATTTCTTACACGCTGTTATTATACTCATACATTTTTACTGGTTTTTAATTTATTTAATGTTCTGAACTTTGCCTCTTTATACTGGAGCATGCACTGCATTCTTGGCCTGTAAAAGCAAACATGCTGGTGGCAGAATTTTAAACTAATAGTAAATTAAAGTAGAGCCTCATTTCTCACAGCCCTCAGCTTAAAAGGAAAGCATTGCACCCCAGATGATGTTTGCTTCTGAAAAGTGACTAATGTGCTACTCCTGTGTCTGCTGTTGAGGCCAACATAAAACCTTTGTCATGCAGCCCCCACACAATAGTGATCCACTTCATAATGGAGGGAGAGATGTTTTCCTTTTTGACAAACCCTCCCTTGTCACCTGGATGGAGAGAGCACAGCCACTGCAGCCCTTCTGGCTGGTTTTGGAATGGACAGTTTGTATCAACAATTGGTGTTTCACCTAGAAATTCAATCTTTTAGAACCATTTCCTTTTATTGTGTGATGAAATGAGGTTAATTAATTTTTACCCTCATGGGCTTTTTGTTTCAGTGCCTCAAAGCCCTGGATTTCCTTCATTCAAAAAATGTGATCCACAGAGATGTCAAAAGTGACAATATTCTCCTCGGAATGGATGGATCTGTGAAACTGAGTAGGTGTTCTTGGTCAGGCACAGCATCCCCGTGTTCTCAGATGTAGAGTGGGGAATTCTTGTGCTTGGTTTCACACTTCAAGCTGGTTTGGCAGTATTTTTGTTTTCCTCCTCAGCTGATTTTGGCCTGTGTGCTCAGCTGACCTCGGAGCGGAACACACGGTGCACAGTGCTCGGCTCTCCTTACTGGGTAGCACCAGAAATCCTGAAAAGGAAGGAATATGACACCCAAGTGGACATCTGGGCCCTTGGGATCGTGGCCATTGAAATGCTGGAGGGAGAACCTCCATACTTTAGAGAAAGCCCTGTCCAGGTAAGGTGCAAGCGCTGTCAGACGCCACTGTCTTGCCAGTCTGTGCCATGTTTTGTCTGCCATGAACCAAAATCCCACTCAAATCAGCCTGAAATAGTTCCACCAAGGCCCACTTCTAGAAATGTTCCTGCAGAACATCTCATCAGAGCAGAAGTGACCCGTGCCAGTGCAAAAATGTGCTTTTTTTGAATTCCTCCTGCTGTGTTTGATCTCTCTCTGAGCTGGAACTGTGAATGACAGCAGCAAGTTTCTCCAGTTGGGAAATTACTATGAAAAGCATTACAGGTGTATCTGCAGACCCAGAAGTCTTTTCAAATTCTGACCAGTACCTTTCAGGGAGGGTCACTGGTTCTAGTGATGCCATAATTATGTATTACCCAAAAAATTTCTGAAAGTATGTTTTAGCAAAGCTACTTGTAGTAAATTTATTACGAAATTTTCAGGTTTAGATCCTGATTCCTTAAAATGAAATGATGAGTTCTTATACCAAACGAGCAAGGACTAGTGGAAGAATGTGTACCAGGGTAAAATCTCATCACTAATAGCTGAAACCAAGTTAATTCCTGCACAGTTAATTCCTGAGGAAGACAACAGTTCTGAAGAATTCAGTCTTCCACTCTTCTTGTAAAAGTTCCCTAACTTTTCTTGGAAAACCACTTTTGGCTTGCCTTTGCCTTATATAAGGCAGCAAACACAGATGAAGAGAATCATTTCCAGATCCCAGAATATTCTGAATTGGGATGGACCCAGAGGGATCACCAAATCCAGCTCCTGAGTACTGGCCCATCTGGGGATTGCTGTTACCAGCACCATGCTGTGACCATCTACACTCAGGGTCGTTATCACCCCTGCTCTGCAGGCTGACAATTCCCTGTTCCTTACCCTCCAATGTTGATCACAGCCCCCTGCAAGGCGTCGGGAGCTATCAGAAAGCCAGGAGGGGCCTGCAGTGTAGCTGTCAGCCCCAGGGATGGTCAGTGGCTGTCCCGTGCTTCCTCTGTCCCCAGGCTCAGCGCCTGATAGCCCAGAACAAGTATCCCCCTCTGAGGATGCCCAGCAAGATGTCGATTCTGTTCCACGCCTTCCTGCACTCCTGCCTGGACACCGACCCCAGCATCCGCTGGACAGCCAGGGAGCTCCTGGAGGTAAAGGGCCAGTGGGAAATTCTCCTCACCAGGAGCCTTCCTCTCCTGTTAATCCCCTCTCTGGGTGCTTTTCAAAGTAGAATTTGGCTTGGAAGGGACCTTTGAAGTCCATCTGGGCCAACCTCCCTGCCATGAGTGGGGACATCTTCAAACTGTTCAGGTTGCTCAGAGCTCTGTCCAACCTGCCTTTGGATGTTTTCAGGGATGAGGCATCCAACACCCCTCTGGGCACAGTGTTTCACCATCCCTAGCATAAACAATTTCTTCCTTAGACCTAACATGAATCTCTCCTCTTTTTGTTTAAAACCATTACTTTTTGCCCCTTTGCAACAGGCCCTACTAAAAATGGGTGCCCTTCAAGTTTTGAAAAGCTGCAATAAGATCTCCCTGGGACCTTCTTTTCTTCAGTTCTCTTGACTTTGCCTTGGAGGAAAGGTGTTCCATCCACCCTCTGATCATTTCTGTGTTGTATTTTGGGGGTGCATTCAGTTTTAGCTGGTGGCAAGAGAACTGCAGTAGAATGGTGCCAGGTACAGAGGCCCAAAATGGTGTTGGTGGAAGAGGAACCCAGTCCCAGCCCAGCAGTCAGAGATTTGGCTGTTCTTGTCTTGGTGCTGCAAACCTGCACCTCAGGGTTCTTCAGAACAGCACAGGCCTAAATCTAATGGGATCAACATCCCTTGGAGGTGCTGGAGTTCCCTGTGGAACAGCTTGCACTCATCTTTTCTGGCAACTAAAGTAGCCTCTACCTTTAGAAAAAAAGGAACCTAAATGAGTCCTTTGAGTCTCCTGAAATGAAAAAAGCCCTAAGGTAGCAAGTGGCATTCCCAGAGTGCTGGCAGGGCCAAAATCCCAGCAAGCTGAAGAAACCTTGGTAGATTCATTAATGGGATTACATTTGCCTCTGACAGCAAGGTCCTGAATATTAAGACTGAGGTGGATATGGTCCCCTCAGTCCTATTTATGGGTATTTCTGGTAACCAGAGGAATCCTGCTTCCTCTTGTGAGAAACTGGGTTTGGAAAGTAACAGTTCCTTTCTTTCTTTTTTTTCCCTTTGGGCAGCATCCATTTTTAAAAACAGCCGTGAGTCTCTCTGTCCTGCCTGAAGCAATCCAAATAGCCAGGAAAATCTGTCAGGGCATGGAAGCAATTCGTGCCAGCTCAGAGAAAAACCAGGAATAAAATTTTCACTCATTTGAGAGATTTGTTCCCTTCTCACCCGATGGTTCCATTCACTTCTGAGTTGTTGGTTATTTCTTAAACATGGAAAGTCCCAATTATGGGGACTTTGGTATGGTTTGGAAATGGGGAAGGGTCTCCATTTATCGGCTCCAGACCACGCTGCTCTGGAATGCCCATGGGCTGGGTTTTGCCCAGTAGTGGCACTTCTGAGTGAGGAAGAAAGTGCAATTGCATTTCCAGCCAAAAACAGGTGAAGAATGGGGCAGCCAAAACATCCTGTTAGATACACACAGTGAGCTGGAACTGTGGAATATTTGGAGAATTCCCTCTCCTCCTTCCACCTTGCAGAACATGTTGACACAAAAAATAAATAATATATAGAGATTACAGAGAAAGATATGCATATAATATAGAGTACTAAATGGGGGGGTGTGCAAATGTACATAGACACACAATATACTATATAATTATTATATATATAAATATAGAATATATATTATAGTACTACATATATAATATATATTATATAGTACTATATATACAGTGATTATATATATGCTACATAGTACTATAATGTTTTTATATAATTATATGTATAAATAGTGTGTTACAGAGCTGTGGACATACATTTACTTTGTACCTTATATTGTCCCCTATGCACAACCCCCCCTTAACTCTCCTGCACTGTATAGTTCCTTATATAATGTTCCTTATATATAAAAATATATAATATATATGTCTATACATATATATTGGGTGGGTATATAGAGTGTGTATCCATCGTGTGCACACAGATATATATATATATATAATATTTTTATATACACTCAGAGGCTTTTATAACTGTTACACAGTGTATAGGGAGATACAATAGCGTGTATAGGATACTGTGTGGCACCCTGTATAAACACCGTTTTATCAGGGTGTGTTGCACCTGTCAGATACCGGTACCTGGCCGCGGTCACACCTGTGTGCGTGGGCACCGAGCGCCCTCTCGCGGCCGCTGCCGGCGCAGAAATCGCTAAAATTGTAAAACTTTTTTTTTTGTAAAATTTTATTTAGGTCTCTTCGTATTGAAAAGTTACAAAAGGTTACAATGAAATATTTTACACCCATTTCCACCTGTTTTAATTTTTGAGGTGGCTCGAGTGTGTACATAAATGCAGTCCTTTCCCCCTCCCAAAAAACCAACCCCAAGATGTTTTCCCACATGTTGATATCATAACAGTTTTAACTATCAATGGTAGGAGCAGGCAGCAGCGTGGGCCCCTCAGCCTGCCCGTGCCTCGCTTCACCTGGCAAGGCAGAGCCAGCTGTGTTCCCAGGCTGGATCAGCTCCTCCTGCTGGGAAAACCAAACAGTTCCCAAAAATAATCAATGCAGAGGTCCAGGCATCCTCAGGGGAGCACTGGCCAGCAGTGCCTGTCCCCATCCCCAAACTGGGGGAATGGCTGGAGCTGGCACAATGATCAAGGCCTAGAAGTCACCATGTCCATGCTCCCCACCCTGACTTCCCACTTTGCCAGGCTGTGCATGGCCAAGAACTGCTGGTCACACAGTCACAGTCACAGTCACACAGTCACACAGTCCCACAGTCACACTGCCTCTGTGCCACTGATGCTGAGGACCAGCCTTTGCAGAGGCTGGAACAAGATGCTGGTGCTGGGACTGGGGCCAGGGCTGTGGAGCTCCAAGGAAAGAGCCAAGGGATGCCCCTCCAGCTCAGAGCTGAGGTGGCTTTGTGGCCTCAGCGGGCTCAGGAGCTTTCTCAGCCAAATCGTGGGGCGGGCAGGCACAAAGCTCTGGTGCCATCTCGGAGTGGAATTCTTTTCAGGCTGAACACTGACCCTTGGCCAAGCCAAGCCCTGGGAATGGCCCCCATCCCATAGGGAACACTGCAGGAAGCACAGCCTGGAACAGTGTGTGAGGAAAGCAAAGCAAACAGGTCTCAGTGCAGCCCTGACATTTGCAGTTCCCTTCGTCCAGACTTTGGTCTGCATGAGACAGTTCATGCTTTTAAAAAGATATGTCTCAGTTTACAATTTTTTCTGAGAGTAAGCAGCCCTGAAACCATGAGCTTACAGAGAATGTCACTTGCCTGTGGGGCTTGTAGTTCACACCTCTGACAAGATCTCTGCTATGCCAAACTGGCCTGAGCCCAGACTGTCTGAAAAGAGCTGGATTTAGGTCCTTGGTGCATGCAGCATCATTCACAGCCCCACAGTCCCTCTCTGGCATGCCAGACAAAGCATTTTCCTACCACAGCAACGATCCTTTTGGAGCCCTGAGGAGACTTCAAAACCTTTTGTGAGAGCATTAACTCTGTCAAGGGTCATTTCAAAAATTGTAAAAATTGCACAGTGTGGCTGAAGTGGCTACGAGGCATAAAGGAATCCCAATTTCCTGGCTGTAAAAAAGGCAGAACAGTCCTTCAGCTTCACCTTAGCACCCAGAATGTGCGTCTGTGTAAAAGCCATTTCCTAGTGTGTGGCACAGAGAGCCCCATGCACTGCCAGGGTCACCGAGGGAACGCTGCCATGGGCTGCAGGGCAAGGGGAGAGCTGGCACCAGACCCCTGCTGTGAGGGAAATGTGAAATAACACCATCCTCCATGGTACCCAAGTGAAACTTCATCAAATATCAGCCGTGCCAGCAATTAATGACTGCAAAATTTTGAGAGTTGAGACCTGACACCTGCCAGGGAACAGCACCCTGCTTTTACAAACTCACCCTTCTCATGAGCTCATTTTCTCCTCTTTCAGGCTGGTGCTACATGTACCAAAACAAGAGGGCTGATATTCCATTTTTAGCATTATGTGGCTTAAACAAAGCAAGGAGGCTCCCATTACTGAATCTGTGCTCTGAGCAAAGCCACAGCTGAACTGTGAGATGCCCTTGGACAGAGATACCAAACTGTGAGCCACCAGCTCAAGGTGGAGAAGAATCAGAAAGTCAATCTGAGAGCCTTTGGGTGAACAAATCTCTTATTTGCTGTGGTGTTCAAACAGGCACTGCAAGATCTGCCCCTCTATTTTAATGTTGTCCTGGCAAAACTGGTCTTAAGGTCATGAGCTATGACTGAGCTCCTCGAGTAGTGACATTTTCACCAAGGAGTAGAAACACCTAATCTGTAGTGAAATTCATCAAGAAATTTATATCCTTTTATGGGGAGAAAAAAAAAAATCCCCATGAATCCCTCTTGTACTTGCCAGTCCCCAAGCTGCTGGTGGGTGCCCGATGGAGCTGCAGCCATTCCTGCCTGCATCCTCAACGATGCTGCTGGGAAGATGCTTACATCCTCCTGAACTTACCTGCCAGCGTTACATTTGGCCCCTTTCCCACTGCATGAGCTGTATCACGAGCATAGCTATGTATAAATATGCATTTCCCCCTCTCCCAGCGCCTCTCCGCCCATTACCAATGATAATGTACAGAGTTGGAGGGCTTTTTTTCCCCTTTGAAGCGATTATGCTGATGTGCACCCTGTGCTCCCGAGTCCCCGGCGCGGCTGCCGCGAGGTGACAGCTCCGTGTGGCTCTGCGGGGCCGCGGCGCTCAAAGCTCGGCGAGGTCGTCGCTGGAGAGAACCGTGACGCTGATGTGACCCGGCACCTCGGCTGCTTCCCCGCCGCCTCTGCCCCGCAGCCGCAGCCTCCGCTGCTCGCGGGGCTCAGCGGGGGAGGCTGCGAGCACCGCCTGCCCCAGCAGCTGGTCACTCAGGAGGCTGCTGTTCCACACCTGGAGAGCAGGGGACACAAATAAAGCCGGCTGAGGCAGCGCTGCTGTCACACTCCGCTGTGCTCGAGAAGGGGCAGCCCCCGTTAACCCTTTGGAAAAGCAGAGGAGGGGGTGTGCGTCTAAATTTAGCTAATTGTCTAGAGAGCATGAGGGAGAGTCTGGATTTGCATGCTCATTTACATAGACTATGCAAATAAGGAGCAAAATGCAGCTTTTGCTTTCTAGGTCACAGCCTGCCTAGGAGAGGAATAAAAATGACCCTTTTTTACCTCATCAGCAGTAAAACCTACCTACAGTAGCCTGTCTGTGCTGCTCTGACTGCCTGTGCTCACCTCTGCACCTCCTCAGTGCTAGAGTTTGAGTCTGGCCCACAGCCTAGACTGAAGACAAAGTTTTCCAGAACTACACGATCTCAATGCCAAGCTCTATTTCTCCAGCTAGTGCTGAGGTAAGCAGTGAGGTCTAGTTCTCACAGGACTAGAATTCAGGGTAGAAAACTTCTTAATAACACCCTTAACTTTGGTTTTGTTTCAAACACTGACTCTGGACAATGCTTGGCTTCTCTTTGTCTCCCTTTCATCAGGTACCACACGGGGCAAAAGGAATTCTGTCAATTCTTTCAAAGCCTTGGAATGAAACATGCCTTGTGATCCCTAAGTGCCATCAGCTGTGTTTGTGGAGGAGAAGCAGCAGCACAGCCCCAGGCAGAGCCCAGCAAGGGGAGCAGAGATTCTCACTTCTGTTCTGGCTATCAGTCACACAAAGGAAAGGCAGCCCAGTGAAGCCCAGGGAGGCTGCTGTGCTGCCCTCCCTGCCCTGAGCAGCTGCCCTGTGGCTGTCTCACCTGGATGGTGACAGGACTGTCCATGTCCTTTTTGTAGAAGATCACCTGGGTGTTGAACACGGGGCTGGTGGTGTCGTGCTGCACTGGGGAGCGCCGGCTCTGGTTCTCACACTTGATGAGCACGTAGGGATCTGCTCCTGGAACACAATCAGCAGCACAGCTTGGGCACACAGAATGGCAGCTGAGAGCTGCCCAGAAACCCAGCAGAGACAATCCCCTCCTGTGCCTGGCAGCACCACAGGACAGGGCACCAGAGCACGCCAAAGCCACTGCTCCCTGTCCAGGTGAAAACACAGAACCATGGAATGGTTTGGATTGGGACGGACTTTAAAGCCCATCCAGTTCCTCTTCCTGCCATGGGCAGGGACACCTCCCACTGTCCCAAGGTGCTCCAAGCCCCCTCCAGCCTGGCCTTGGACACTTCCAGGGATCCCGGGGCAGCCACAGCTTCTCCATGAACCTGTGCCAGGGCCTCCCCACCCTCACAAGGAACAATTTCTCCCTAATATCCAATCTAACCCTCATACGTGACGCCCTGCAATTGTTCAACATTCTAGAAATGCTTTGTTTTTACAGTGAGCATTTTTATTTCTTACTTAAGTTGATATTCTCTTTCCTTTACAATAAGGAGCAAGAACCGTTTTGGAAACACCAAATGCATTCAAATAGATTGGGCCATTCCACTTTCTAATTAACTTTTAATTAAACAAAGGCAATACCATGTTTTGTATTTCAACACAACTCTGTCCATTTCTGTTGTAAATGACAGAATATCTGGTTTTTTTTCCACACCTTGCAACTTCTTAGATACAGATTTTAAATAAACTCTGGGTATTTGTAAGTCAGGCTCGTGAGAGGTTCTAACACACATTTTTTTTCACCATCTACTTGAAAACACCACCACAGCCAGAGGGCAGCACAATTTTAGGCAACTTTAGCTTTTTAACAAGCCATACCCAGATTATTTCCCTCAAACACGTCACTCATTTACAAAACCAGATGCCAACATCTCACAGGAACAAACCACATAACAGCTGCATCCAAACCAGATGCAGCCACCTCCATGTACAAGGCTGACACAGATTTTTCCATATGTTGCTCTGTGGTTACACCTGGCCAGAGCTGCCACGGGCCTGTTTCCCTGACAACCCCTCACAGTTCCATGGCAGGTAGCAGGATATTGGCTTTTCTGATGGGCAATTGCCTTCCGTGTCACTGAACTGTGAATTCAGCTCTGGGGCATAGGGTGGCACCACGCAGTGTCACCACGGGTGGAAAAGCTGCCCTCTTTGCAAAGCGATTTGGAAAATGGATCTGGATAAAACTGGCTCTTGACTGCCACCCCAATGGTGTTAACAACGTGTCGAGGGCAAAGAGCAGAGCAACACCCGAGCATTAACAGTAATTAAGAGATAAAGAGCATAAGGAGGGGTGGGGAAAGGACACAGAGCTAAAGAGGTGACAGGCACATCTGCTGGATGGATGAGGGAGCAGTTAATGAGGGGACTTGCTAAGTGAAAAGAAAGAGAATATTTGAAGGAAATACTCAAATTCTCAGCAAGACCTCGAGAAACATAGGGAGGTAGAAGGGGGACACAAAAAGTTTCTGCACCCATGATGTTCCAAAACGTTCTGACCCCATGATGGCAGTGCTGGATGGGTCAGTTGTTTTAGGAAAACTGCCTCCAATTCCACAATAAAAGGAAGCAGTGGGAGAGCACATGGGGGATCAAATGTTCTCAGTTATGGATGGCCCAGATCTGTGCCTGGTTTATTTACAGGACAAAGGAAAAACATCAAGATCTGCTAGAGTGGAAAAGCAATGTCCTGGTATTGGCCATGAGCTGGGAATGAAACTGGAGCTGCTGCTCAGGAAATGGCTGTGGCAGGGGAAGGAGGGCTGGGTTCAGCTCTGGGGCACACAAATGGCTCCAGCTCTGCCCTCACCCCCATAGCAGCTCTCTTACCTCAGTCCTGGCCATGCTGCTGCGCTGGGAAATTGGGTAAAAAAACATTGTAAAGGAAAAAAAAAAGTTGGAATCTGTAAAAGCCAGAAACACCTGAGCAGTAATGGCATTTCTAAGGCTTAAAGAAATCTGTGCTCAGTAGTCTAAGGCTTAATTTTTGGGTTTTTGAGAACTGCACTGAGGATCTAACACCCCAATCCTGCAGCACTGTACCACAGCAAAAGGTTTTCTGGAAAACACTCCTGAGGGAATGTTCCCAGCTGAATTCCCACTCCTCTCTGCTGCTCTGACCAGAACCTGGAGAGCTCTGACCCCATCAGCCACTGGAAAAGGGCATGGGACAAACAGCAGGTACAGTGCTGAGACACAAGCACTGCCCTGGCAATCACAGCAGGTTGTTTTGCCTCTATCTCTGCTTCTCCTTCCTTCTGCTTCTCAGGCTGCTCCCAAGGCAGCTCCGCAGATTTTCTGCTTCCAGGGCTGTCACACAACATGGATCTCAACACTCAGCTTAGAAAGTGGTGGTGAAAAATAATTCAATATGCAAATCCAACATGGAATATCAGCAGGAAGAGTTAAAGGTGGAAAAGGCGATTTGTTCTCAAAGAGAAACTCGGGGAAAAGGTCTGACAGAGAGTAATGAGAGCAATTTTTAAAACAGGCTTGGGAATGAGTGACAGAAAATCCTCTAGCACAAAGAGTTTCCTCATCATCCTGCAGACCTGCCACTGTGCTTGGCTCACACACAGCTGGATCCACTTCAGAACACACTGACTTGGAGAGAGGTACTTCCACAAGGAGCATCCAGGCCTGAGTCTGGGCTGTTTGATTCACCCACTATTCCTGACAACAGCAAACCATCCATTATTTTGTCCAGACATGGCAACGGATCAAAGACAGCACCAAGGAGGAGCTTTCCAATAAACATTTAAAATAAAGACTAAATAATTCTCCTCTGGCCAGGAACAGGGCTCTGGTAACAAACAGCACTGAGCTGTGAAAAATAAAGACTATCAGACAGAGAGCAGGAGTAGAAAATGAAGAAGCAAATGGCAACTGGGCAAGTTTCCTAATTAACTCAACATCAGGTGCTATAAAGCCATTCTGGTGTCCTTCAGGACACTTCCTCTGACAGATACACAGTCATGTACAAAGCATTTAACTGTTCTATCCTTACCCACCTGAAAATGGTTGCTTGAAAACCATAAAGTCTTCCCTGCAGTGCTCTAATGAGGTAAATGTAACACACTATATGAGTCTGTGCCATTCAGCTGCCTCCTGGATATCTTCCATTTAGAAAATACACAATCCTGTCACAAGAACATTACTAATCCCCACAATTAGCTCCTCAGGAGGGCCTGGCTACTCCTGTCCATCCTGCCCAGTTATGACCTCCTCATAACTTGATGTTGTGCATCCCCATATTCACCTATCTCTCCATTGGAGCAGGTTTTACAACATGATGGAAAAACAAATCCCATAAATCCTCTGTTTGGATAATTTCTGATTGCTTAAGTATCAACCCAAATCACCTTTAGAGGACTGAAAAGCCAATTCCACTCTTCCAGACTCTCCTTCCACTTACCTCCTGATCTGTCTTGTTTCTGCAAACCCTCTGCAGAGTGGACTTTGATTTGGGTGACTCTGCGTGGGTAGCCACAAAGAAGACTCCAACACGTCATTTCAGGCCTATCTGCCTTCAGCTCCCTGAAAAATCATGGAAAAAGCAACCTAAGCAAAGAATGTCAAGCAAACAATCAATGGTTGTGGAAATCTGGTATTTTTAGAACATGAGATTTGTAGTTTTTCCTCATGTGCCATTTTGAGTTCTATGGTGCAGAAATGACAGATGTAAGATATAAAAATAGAGCAAAGCAAAGTAAAACAAATTTTGTTATCTTTTGTGTGGAAGCAAAAGTGAAAAAAACCCCAATTTTAAATAGTGGAAAATACTATCAAATCAAGAAATAAATGCAGTGGGCCTGATACATGAAGCACTGGTTCTACTCTTGCAGTAGCCACTGCTTTCAGAGATGGTCACAGAAACAACAAATATCAGCTGTAACCACAAGCACCAGTGCTCAGTGTCCTGACCTAGAACTGGAGACCACTATAAGAACTGAACTAAAAAAGCCAAAAGACTCAAAATGAATCGCCCAAGAGGTCCCTAAGTAAACATTTCCTGACCACGCACAAACCTGGAGATTCTCAGAGGTGCCTCTGATACCTCCAGGGCCCAGTTCTGGAGCCACACGAGCCAGTGAGTCAGGACAACCTGGCAACCCCTTGTGTGGAGCTTCAGCCTGTGGGCTAAGGAGGATCTCCTGCAGCTGTGGGTGCCACCCACCTGAGTTTTGAGGGCACATCTGTGTAGAGCCTGAGGATGAATTTGGTGGGGACCCCTGGGATGTAGGTGGTTGGGATGAGGACGTAGCGGCCTTGCTGGAGGACGCTCCTCAGGAACACGCTGCGTGTGTTGGAGTAGGGAGACGTGGCCACTCTCTCCTGCACCGTGAGCTTGTGCAGCCTGTACCTCCTGTTGTCCTCCACCTGCAGCAGAGAGGGGTTAATGCCAGCAGGGATAATGGGCAGGCTTGTCCCTGAGCGTCACACAGCTTTTCACAGCCCAAAAACACAGCGTGCAATAAAGGCAGATCATTTGACAAGTGTTTTCTCATCCAGTTAAGCTGTGGCAGGTGAAAGTTTGGGGCTGGCAAAGACAGGAACCCACTGAAAGAGATGATGTGATGCTACTGCAGAGCTGGGAACATTTCCACGGGTGGACACACACCCCAAGGACTGCACCTGCATCCCTCTGCCTCCTTCCTCTAGCCTTTCTCAGCAGGCTCCCAATCCAGATGCACACAGCTGGATTTTCCTTGCCCATTCCTGAATACCAAAGCCACAGAATAACCATTCATGTTTTGCTCTAAGCCTTGAAGTTGTGTTTAACTCTTAACCTCCTCTCCAGGGGATTGGTATTTGCCCGAGCACAGTTTAAATCTAAACCTCCCTCTCGAGCAGCTCTTGGGGCAAAGGCAGCCCTTCATTCTTTCCTGGCAGCTCTCTCCCCAAGGCCTTTAGTCATGCTAATGAGCCTGGTGTGTTAGAATCTATCTAAAAATAGAAAAATTATTGATCAGAAATAAAAATAGAGCACTGAAACTTTTAGGAAGGTGTGGTTTTCTTTTTCAAGCCTTTCCAAATTACAGGCATGAACAAGGGAAATTATTCTGCTTTCTGAAAGACACTTTTCAACATATGTGGTTAACAGGTGATTGGCAAATGAGTAGGTGTGATGCAGATGTCAGCAGATCTAATCAACTGTTGAAAATTGATCTATTTTTAGGGTAGGGCCATAGATTTAATGTAGTCCCAGGAGCTGTAGCAGCAGATGACAGGATTACCCCAATCCTCAGTGAAAAAGCAGAAAAGTTGCTGTTTCTTTGCTTCCTTCCTTCTCTGAGTTTGAGTGTTTTCATTTTACTCAATTTGCCTTGAGAGTGCAATTAAATTACCTTTTGGCATCCCTGTGGTTCCTTTTCCCATATATTCATTTCCTGCTGTATTCATTTTTCATTTCTTATATTCATTTTCTGCAACAGAAAAACTGCAGACTTTTCAACCTCATTCACCTGGCTGTATTTGTTGATGAAATGGAGGCAGAAGAAGGAGAAAAACCCCTCCATGTTTTAAGAATTTAATATCATTTTGCCTTTCTCTAGAAAGTTGGAGGGGTAGGAAAAACACTTAAGATTCTTTTCCAAGGGGCAAAAATTATTTATTTCAAATAAATGGAATTTATTCAAATAGAGTTTGAGCTGAACTAAATTCAGTTGAGTTCCTATGCCCGAGTGCAGTGCCCACACAAAGTGTGGCAGAGCCAGACCCCAGGAAAATCCTGCCACAGATCTCCCTGTCAGGGTGAAGCAGGACTGAGCAAACTGAACAAACTGTGCAGCAGCAGTGCAGCTGGCTGCCTACCTTGAGGATTTCAAAGCCAATGGTGATGTTGTCTCCTTTCCCTTCTTTCTTGTACTTGCGCCGATCCTCCTGCTGTAATGACACCAACACTTTGTCCTCGGCCTTCTTAACATCAAAGAGGTACTGGGGGAGAGAGAAGAAACAAGGGCTGTTGGAATGGCCTCAGGAGGCTGAGGGTAAAGCCATCACCAAGGAAATCTGTGCATACAAAGGAGGCAATGGAAATACATCTGGGGGAGGAAGGTGAGTTCTCCCTGTAACAGATGTTCCCGGCGATTCACAGCTGGAAAATGAATGCTAATAATAAGGATCTTAAAATCAAAATTATCAGGTAAATAAAAGGTGTTGATGAAAATGGTAATCTTAGTGAAAGGACTTGGGGGAATGACCTTAAGGTGAAGCAAGGTAGGTTTAGAGTGGATGTTGGGAAAAAATCCTTCCCTGTGAGGGTGGTGAGACCTTGGCACAGGGTGCCCAGAGAAGCTGTGGCTGCCTCTGGATCCCTGCAGGTGTCCAAGGCCAGGCTGGATGGGGCTTGGAGCAGCCTGGTATAGTGGGAGGTGTCCCTGCCCATGGCAGGGGGTGGATTGAGATGAGCTTTAAGCTCCCTTCCAACCCAAACCACTCTGTGATTCTCTGATTCTGTGAACTCACATAAAGGACAGCCTGGGACAAAGCTACCAAACAACTGGAGTCAGCAGGAGGACACCTCATTTGAAAGCAAAAGACAAAAGTTTTATTTAGCTATAAATCAGGAGTGAGATTAAAAAAATAAACCAACAGACTCCACATGGGGTCTTAGATAATTTTTGATTCTCCTTTTAACTGAACAGTGACTTCAAATTTCAAACATCTTTATATAGGGCCTGCAAATGAAGGAATATTTCAAATCTTATTTAAAAGGCACTTTGTTCTGTATCTACAGTTCCTAATTAATGTGAGAATGAGAGAAATGTTAATTTTGGACTTCTTGGTTTTCCTGAATACCCAGTGAAAAACAGCTAAGAAAGACTCCTGCACCTTCAACATGCAAATATTTTATCCAAACTGTTTACGGTAAACTTGAGTCAACTTGGATTTAAGACAAATCAAAGGAATTTATTTCAAGTTTAAGCAGCAGTTCCCATTTTGCTAAATCCAACTTGAACAGTTGCATTACTAAAAATCATTACCAGACCATTCATAAGTAAGTATGAACAAAAGAAGGTCAGACAGGTGTTTCTCTATACTACAAGGAATTTAATTAATTTGTTCATTATTAGAGACTCCTTTAAATTTTGCTTTGTGCATGCAGAGGGCAAACTTGAGTTGTCAGGACCAATGGAGGGATTATTTACCCCAACTTTGGACAGATGCTGTACTCTCCCATCCTCAAAGACATTTAAATGTGAAGAAAAATAAATAGAAACATAAACCTGCAGCAGTGCACAGCTGGGTACCATGTGCACCACATGTTCTGAGTTAAGCAGGAATTCCCTGGCAGCATGGAGAGGAATATCATCATTGGTTCAATTGCCCCCTCCCTTCTCCTTTGACTGCTGCTAAAAAGCAAATTATTGAGCTTTGCTCTGAGGTAGATATTGAACTTGCCTTGGTCACAGAACCATCCACATCCCTCTGCCTTGGATTTCTGCTGAGTAAGACCTCATCCCAAGCTCTGATTTGTGTTTTATATCACTTATTGCAGCAGAAAAAGCACAGGGCCCTGGGAGAGTTCCAGGGGTTGTAAGAAAACCTAGAAAGTGAGATATAAGCATGCAGCAACACCCAGTAAGGCACATTCTAATTCTTGTCCCTGTTGAACCATACACAGGGTTACTCCCTCAGCGTGTTCCAAGGCCATGGAGGGGTGGGAGGGCAAGTGGAACCAGGAAAGTTCTCCTGGTCTGATGACAGCTGTGACCTTCTGATGGCACTTCAGCTGTCTCGATGGGTAGTGATCTAGAAGGCAGCAGGTGACTGCAGAATACACAGATACTTGGCTGCAATTGCTTTATCAAAGGGACTGAAGTGTCACAATCCCTCTCTGCACAGATAAACCTGAGAGGAGGCCTCAGTGCCAGGAGAACAGGCAGAGATAATCTCTAGATTATGGTGAGGAATGCCACAGTAACCTGTAATGTCCCTAAGATAACACGAATATGTTCCAGCACTGCTGCTAAAAGCCTTTTAATCAGCTGGCCCAGAGCTGACACTGGGATACAGAGACCTTCCACTGCATCAGGCATTGCACTCAGCTGGCACGGGTGCATTTTGTTCTCTGTGACAGCTGAACACTTACAAATGAGACAAGCACTTGGAACACATCCAGAATCTTACAGGGCAATACCTGAATTAAATCACCCCCTGCAAACGAGGCACTGCCAGAAGGCAGAGCAGTGAAGAACTGCAGGGTGAGCTGGGAATCTGAGACCTGATCTGAGCAGCTGAGGCTGCACTGCTCCAGCATCCTGCTCTGAAAAAAAAAAAAAAAATAGAGGCTGCAGGCAGAAACCTCCCTTGCAAGTGCAGAGAAGCAGATCCAAAAATATCTTTAACTAATCTGGACAGAAAGATCCATTTTCAAACTGGTGACTAACAGAGTAAGTGCCCAGACCTCATGGACAGTAACAGAAGTTATATGCCTGAATTTGCACGTGCTGGGAGAGAGAAGGGCAGGAATGTGGAAAAAGGAGTAGGAATGGATGAACAGGTAAACTGAACAGATAACTGCTACTTGAAATAACCAGGCAGGGTGAGACAAGGAAAATTCTGTAATGCTGATGAGAGGGTGAGTTTGGGGAAGAGATGAGGTACTTCCAGAATCTTACATTAATGCCAAGTGATACTAACCTAATACAGTGGATCAAATCCCCAGGCTGTTTAAGGGGGTTAAGTGAGTTTTGTCATTAGAAAATCAGACTTGTTGCCTTTCTATGACTGGGAAAATGAAAGAAGTCCAGGCAGGACGTCAGTAATTCTGTTGTGTGTGTGACTCACCAGCCCCAAGCATGATCAGTCCTAAATAAATATCTAAACCCTTCTGAGAAATTGCATCAAAATCAACGAAACATGCAGTACACAGCACACTCCCAGGGCAATGAGATTTTTGTCTTGTAGTCACTGCCAACTCCCAAACAGGGTGGACAGTTCAGGATCCCCAGCTAAAGTGGACAAACTTCAATACCTCACAAGACTTCCCACCTGGGGGCTCTGCAGGAAGGTCTCTCTGTTATCAAACACCTCACAAATACACAGTGCCTCACAAAACACAGGGACTCCCACCTGGGGGTTCTGCAGGAAGGTCTCTCTGTTATCAAAGCAGCCCCCAGATCTGTTCAGCAGAGGCTCTGGATGCTGTGCCCAAGAACCATACATAATTTTCTTCTCCCAAGTCTTGTGGAGGCTGAAGAAGGAGGTGTTCACAGTCCTGCAGATGTCCACATCCGTGAAATTCTTACACCAGTCCTCAAACGTCATCCTGCTCCACAGAACACCAGGGAAGTAATGGTTTGTTTAAAAATAAACAGTGATATTCACGCAAAGAGCCAAAACAAAACACAAAATCTTCCAGTCATTCCAAGAGGAGGCATTGCTCAGCTGTCCAGGGGACAAACTGATTCACTGGAAAGCTTCCCATGTGGAAATACTCGTGAAGCCACAATCACAGAGTTTTAGAGCTTAATTCAGAGCAGCATCACTCAGTGTGTTTGGTCAGATCACGATCTGTTCTGCTGCATCTCCCAAGCCTGAAGGACTGGTTGAACCTCCCAGGCTGGGTTTGATAAGACATTTTACAAAGGGCAAAGAGATACCTGCAGTTAAAGTAGGATCCATTCCTCATTATTACCGTCCTTATTGTCACAGGACAATGTCATCTCTGTCCCTGAGCACGACTCAAACCTCTGCAGTCTGGACAGAGCTTTTATTTAACCCCATCTCACCCGTGCCTGCTAAAGGAATGGGCTGGACTGCAGAGCAACTGGAAAACAGCTTGGCTCTTTGAATTACCATCATGGCCTGCCTTATTCATGGCCCAGAGCCAAACCCTGCAGCTGCCAGTCCTGACAAAGCCAACAGAATTATTTTCACTCTGAGTCCTGCCAGCTCACTTGATGCAATATTGATCATCTCCTGAAGGACCTGCTGGGCTAAAGATCTAAGCTTTAAGCAAGGTCAAAATTAATAGAGCTCTAGACATTGTATAGAGAATTAACTTCTCATTCTCATGCTGGAAAACACCAACAAATATCAAAATTCACTGGATGCAACTCTATTTTTAGATGCCTCAGCCATGGCTGACCTACAGACAGGCCTAGCAGTCAGTAAACAGGGTGTGAAATGCACATAGTACTTCCTCAGATATTTTTACCCATTTCAGAGTTTAACTGATAAAGTGTTCAGTACTGGGCATTGTGTCATGTAAACCAGCTTGTGTTCTCCTGGTTTCTGAGAGATTATCCTAAATATAGGCAATAGATTCTGAGAGCTACTAATTTTGTTCTACTAGTTTCAAATCCATTTTTATTATTCTTCCCTGTCATTCCTTGGGAGTTTGAAAGAAACAGACCTTGGGATAACTTTATCCATCTGTTTCTGAAGCTGTTAAATGGCAGATTAATGACAGTTACTCAGTGTAACCAGTGTCCTCAAATCCTTCACATCACTCCCACTCACCAGAACTCTCCATCGTTCTCAACAGTGAGCCCCAAATTCTTGCGCTCAGAATCGCTGACTTTCTTCCACTCTTCAGAACTAAAAGGAAAATTATTAAAAAAAAAATCAAAACAATAAAGATGATTAATAACTTAAAAGCTCTCACCTGGAAAAAGAAAGTGAAGTTAAAATCTCCCCTGGTCCATGGTTTTAAAAGGAATATCAGAGTACTGAAAGGGCAGATGATATTGATGAAAGTGTGAGGCTTTCAGGAGGAGCTTTAAAACATTAATTGATTTGAAAGCTACTAAAAAAGGAAGAGAAAGGAAGAGATGAATAGGAAATAGGCTCAAGTAGAGCAGAACTTTATTGATTTCCTTTGTCACAGCCTCCATTAGGACTCTTAAACACTTAAACAGCTGGTTTCCAAGGTCACAGGAGATTGACTCCATTCCCTGAAGGCCCCTCAAATGAAACCTGGTTTTCCTCCTCAGGAGATTATTGAACGCTTCACTTAGACCAGAGTATTCTCTGTGTCTTTTAATCACCTTAATAAAACAGGCCTGAGGTCTGAGATTTCCCTGGGGGGCCTTTGAGAAGAAACTGCTGGAGCCTGAGCACAGTGTCCAGTTTGCAGAGGAACATTACAGTGCCCAGACCCTTCGGGCACACAGCTCCTGGAGGGGAGCACAGACCCTAAATTCCAGCAGCCTCCTGCTGAAACCCAGAACAGACCCTGTCCTGATGGGTTAGACCAGAGAAACAGAGCCACAGCTCCTCACTGCCCCTCCAAAAGCACTTGGAGGCTAAAGGTGAAGGTGGCTGGAAGGAGGGAAGGGAGGCTGCTCACCCTAACAGACTTTTCTTAACCTATTTGGAAATTGTCCATTTAATTCTGTTAGACCAAAAGCCATGGGCCACCAGAGTCACAGTCCTCAGTGCTGGCATGAGTGACAGCTGTGCCAGACACAGGATACTGGAGAATCCTAAGGGCTTCAGTTAAACAAGACACAGCAGCTCTTTCGTGCATTCTTTGCATTTCACCCAGACCAATCTCTCTGAAAGTGGTAGATTTTTGCTAGCTAAAGCATGGATTATAAGAAATTAATATGCTACTGTTAAGAACACTGCATTGTCAAGTACTAAATGCCAGCTGGTGAGCCCAGTGCTGAACTGTCACATATTTTTCATGTATAAATCACCCATGATGGGAGACATCCCCTCCAGCAATATTTCTCTTGCTGTGGAGGTATCTGCTAAGCCCATGGCCCACATGAAAATTCATTCGAAAGTTAATTAGAAAGAAATCACAAACGTGGCACTTTTACAGCATTTTTCACCGGTCACTTAAATGATCTACAAGACTTTTACCATCCCCAGCAGCTGGAAATGAGGAACTGAGTCCCAGACATGCTCAGTGGTGAAGCTGGGAGAGAGCCTTGTGTTCTTGACTCATGAGCTATTTTTCTTCCCATACTCCAGTGTGCCAGAAGAATGATGTAAATAGTAAATAAAGGTCCAGGGACCTTTAGGTCCTCCAGGACATGCTTATTTTGTCAGAGGAAATTGGCAGAGATGGCACAGAAGTTCAGTCATCTCTGAGTATGGGTGTCTGTCTAACCAGTGTTTAACCATAAATTCAGTGGCCCAGCAGAGTTTCACCCCTTTGACCCTGAGTTTGCAGCTCTTACCTGTCACTCCAAGCACCATGCCATTCTTTTTTCCCCCAGGGGTTCCTCAGCCTGATCATGAAGAGTTTTTGTGCCTTGAAGGAGAACACGAGCCTCTCCCCGAGGCGCAGTTTCCTGATGGCAGTCACGGAGTAGGCATGGCCCACAATGAGCCCCATCTCTGTCTCTGCTTCACTGGGACGGCCAGAGGACTCCTTGGGCATGGAGAATGACAATTCAACAGAAAGAACTCACATCTCTGAGGAACCTGACAGCTCCAAGCTCCAGGGGAAGGACAAGAAAAATGTGTTTTTCATTCTCTTCCTGAGTGATATGACTCTACAGGAAAATAACAGCACTGGGAATCAGAAGTAGGGGCTCACCAGTCCAGTGTTGTTAGTGCCAGGCAATTCCAGTGCTAGAAAATCCCAGAGCACAGGGGAATCCTGCCTGCTGCAGCCAGTCTGTCTCCTCCTGGCCTCAGAGTTAGAAAATGGAAAATCTTTATCAGCCCTTCCAAAATCCTGTCATCTCTACCAAATGGTTCTTCTGGACACTGATGACCGTGTCCAGACTGTCTGGGGGTGTCCTCACCTGGACACTCATGAATTTAGCTGGTGAGTCCAATGGTTGTTCTTGTGCTGGAATAAATTTGATGCCCAGGAAGAACTACTGGCACTGGGTAAAATTGGGAGGGCACAGGCAAACGCTGAAAACTTCCAAATTTTTGTAATGTAAAGCAAAAAAAACTTCCAAGCCACTTGACAAGGCTGTCCTGTACATCACTCACTCCTGGCAGGGCTCTCTTACATGGCAAAGGGAAGACCTGTAGGGTGCTTTAGGAACTGGGTTTGCTCATCATAAACTCCATGTAAGAATCCCAGTTCCTAGCAGTGATCAGGCTGTCCCTAAACTGTCCCTAAACAAACCCTAAACTGTCCTGTTTGATACAGAGAAGTAGTCAAGCTCTGAAAAAAGAGCACAATGGCATTTATTGCATCCAAACCTCCTGATCTAAACCCAGAAAAGCATCACCATACAAAGATGTTGGAGTTGTTTTGATGATCCTGGATCCAGATTCTCCACACCCTCACTGAATCCAGCCAAAGAGTCTCTCTCATTTATCACCATAGGGCCTGGAAACACTCATTCCCTTGGACACCTTCCTACCAAGGAAGGAAGATTTGACTCAGTACAGATCCTTGTGTGTAAACTTGTAATTACCTAATTAATGCTCAGTCAAGCCTTGGCTGTGGTGGAGGGAGCAAGAGGTATGGCCTCTTGGTGTTACTAATGCAAATATTTAAATATAAATATATTATTTATCATTACCCATTAATATATTAGTAGAAATTTATGAATATTTAAATACAAATAAGGATTTATCACAATTATGAAATGCACATGTACTTCCATAGATATTTTTACCCATTTCAAAATTTAACTGGTCTAAACAGACAAGGTCCTTGTCCTAAGGCAAATGTTGCACTGATATAACAGTGCTCAGTCCCCAAAGGTAAGAAATCACATTTAAAAAAAAGGGGAAGGAGAAATTCCTATCAAATTGGAACTGACAGGTGGTCTGGCAACTGTGAGAGTCTCACCAAGCCCTCATGACAACAGCTCCCAAAGAATCAGCTCAAGAGTTCCCCCAGCCTGGCTGACATTCCCATGGCTCTGGGCTCCCTCCAGTCTAACACTCACTCCCATTTTTCACAACTAAAAACAAACAAGGAGTCCTTGACAGCACTGGAGTCTGGAACTTCTCCTGCTGCCTTTATTATCCCCCAGGCTTTTCTCACTGCTGGCCTTTCCCACCTCGTTCTGAACATACTTATTTATTTCTTTATTCAAATGAGATATTTAAACATCTCCTGTCTCCTCAGATTTCCGAGTGGTGATGCTCAGGGCCATTTTCTAATCCAAGGAAAATGATGAAATGTTTGTAAGGCAGCAATGAAACCACTTGAGTATTAAATATTCTACACTGTGTGTATAATACATCAAAAAGTGACAAATGCAGGCAAACTTAGGAATGGCTTCTCTGTAATCAATGTTTAGAAGCATTTGTGTTTAATTTGGAAGGCAGAAACATCATGCCAGGAATCAGTGAAACCATTACAACTGCCTAATTAATTGCTTTTTAAAATACAGCTCCCTGTACTGAGTCAATCACCTCACCAAGTTCTTGTTAAGAAACAGAACTGCTCTAGCATTTGGGAGCAACTTATCAATCCTTAAACAATGTCTGCAGTAACAATTCACACCAGGCAGTCTGCTCTGCCAGCCTGGTCTGAGCAAATCAGGTGAAATTCTTTCAAATAAAAATTCAGGCCTTATGAAAAAAGATAAAACAAAACCCAAAGGCCTTGAAGGTTTTGTTTCTGAGCTGTTTCCTGATGTTGCTGGAAGGGACAGTCCAGGACCCCTGTTGTATCTCAGGTTAGAGTTTGTGTCCCAGAAGGTACCAGGTGTTCCTCTTTGGTGCCAGGCCCTGATGCAGGACAGTGCATGGCAAGGGCCAGATAAACATTCTCAGGAGCTTCCAAATTCAGCTGATTTTCTGTTCTTGACAATTCCACAACTTTCTTCATACTCACAAGAATTTCTGAATGAATTGGCTTCATTCACAGTTAGGGAAAATAAAACAAAATGTTTAAGTAATTTAATTAAGATCAGCTTTAACTAAGGTCTGAAATGAAACAGGGGCCATGGCAGAAAGATGCTGGACTGCCCTTAGATTCCAACCATGCAGGTGCTAGAAAACTATCCCTTTGCTGTGGGCTGCTAGATTAATGGTTCATAATAAATGATTTAAAAAATAATTTAAAAGCAATCTTTTAGGAAATATTCAGGTGTCATTGCAGTTTGTTTGCTCTTCACATGTGATAACAGCTTTGGGCAAGGTGAGGATTTCAGCACTGCCCAGTCAGACTTGCAGACAAGGGGAGTTGAGCCCAGGTGTCCCTGGTTTGCCTCCCATGGCCAGGGGCTGGGCCATAGGTGGTTTGTGAAGCACCAGGCATCCCCTGGGAGCTGTTATTCATCCATCTTCTAGCACAGGACTGGAGAGAGGTAAATTCCTCAGAAACCATCCCCTCTCTATTGCTTATGGGAACTTCAGGGCCATGGTATCCTAATGTGGGCACTGGGTTACCTGAGCCTCACATGAGCCAGCACAGGCAAGTTCTGCAGGTTAATTCCCGTGGGGAAATTATGCAATATACTGAATATATTCAATATCAAATAGCATTACCTGAATAACCAGGTGAGCTCAGCCTTTCAGCTCAGCTCCACTGTTACCCTGGCTGCACTGGCACAACCAAAGTCAAGAAGTCTCAGCAGCTCCATGCCACAGCTGTTTTCTCTAAAGAGATTTCTCTAAGAAATAAAGCAATTTAATGCTGCTATCTGCTCTGTAAATTGGGTGGATTTACCTCAGGTCAATTCACAACTGTGACCATTCAGAAAAAAGAATTTCAGACACAGTGAAGTTGCAACACAAGCAGTTGTGATTGTATTTAGTGGCTCCTGGAGCTGGAAGAACTTGATAGATTTTTCCAAATAAAGCTTTTCCAAACATGCAAAGGAAGGACATACTCAATATCCTAATAATGGTATTTCTTTCAGAATATTTTCATTGAAATAAACCCTTCAAATCCAGCTCTCTGTACTCACCGAAATGGAGCAGCTGATGAACCCTCCTCTTTTATGCACTTTCATCAAGTCTTCAAACAGTTTCATCTGCTCAGGAATAACCTCTCCATATTTGCCCTCTGCCAAATTAATGGAGTCTGCCACTGCTCCAGTGAAGTCCACCAGGGCTTCTGCAGCACAGCCTCCATCCAGGGCTTGGTAGGATCCAGCCAGCCTGGGGGCAACACAGAACATTCTCAGTTCACAGGGGGCTGGAACAAGGGCTCTAATCTGGCTTGAATGTAGGGAACGTGTTTGTGTCTCACCACGGAAAAAACAGAACAGAACAAAAAAAGCCTGAGCAGACTGCAGATAAATCTTCTCTGGTTTGTAGGATCCTCAAGGATTTGGGCTGTTGAAGCAGACTGCATTGCACTCCTTTATGATTTACATCCTTAACAGAGATTAAAGGAGTTTCCAGTCTTTTTTAGGCTCTCTACCAACAGCAAAACTAAAATCTATGGAAAGTCTGATAGAATTGAAAGACGAAACAGACAAAGGGACAACACTGAGGACTACAAGGACAACGAACCAGCTCATACTTAGCATAAGCTTTCTCCAGCAAAGCACTCCAGAATTCATTCCTCACGTTGGAATGGCAGTAGATCAACTCCCCGTTCTCTGTTGGCAGCAGATCATCAACCACCACCTCTGTCCACTCCCCAAAGCGCCAGAAACGGAAACGGAAAATCCCAGCGTATTTCCTTGGGCTTTTAGGGTCCCATTCCTGCTCCTTACAGTCTGGAATCACCTGGAAACCATGGGAGGGGAAGTTCAGCCAGTGCACTGTGCTGAGGGTTATTCCCAGGGCAGACTGCCCTGGAATCTGCTAAAGACAGGGAAGATTTGAATCCACCAAAATTCATCCCTTGTTAGTCTTAGGGAGAAAACCACTGGCTGATAGGCAGGGAAACAAGCAAGGTTAATTTGGTTTGTTAGCTTTGATTCCTGCACCACACACACCAATCACCCACCTGCTGCCAGAGGCTTTTCCTCAGAGCCAGGCAGGAGCACGCAGCCACAAACCAGCAGTTCCCCAGCTTGCCCTGGTGGAAGTCATGGGAGCTGATTCCATCCACAAGCAGGTGGGGGTCTTCACAGAGGTCCTGGCAAAGCAAACCAGACATTGCTGGAGACTCCACTCCAGAAATGATCACAGCATCCTTCCAGTCAAGAAAAGCAGCAGGAATCGACACTGCTGACACCTGAGCTCACAGCTTCTCCTAAAGGGGGGGGAAGGATGCTTGAAGATTCTAGCCTTTATATTTTTCAAATCCTGTGCAACAAGAGTGCATAACACTTCATAGAAAGTGTTAACTATTATCTTCAACACTTTGGTCAGACAAAACAATTCCTCTGGGGCTTGGAACCCAAGGACACTCTACAGCTTCAGGCCCTAAAAGAGTATAAACAAAAGTGAATTGTAGGGGGAGCAAACAGGGGGAATGTGACTTCATTACCTGAAGATGTAATTGGAGAATGAACCTCTGATATGCAAATAGACCAAACTTATATCTGCCCAGAAAAACTCATGACCATCATGGACCTTGGGTGTAGCCTTGGAGGCTTTTGCACTGCCCAAGGTGTACCTGTTAAAGGCCTTTAATAAATACCCACTTTATTCTTTTAACTGCCCAAGGTGTACCTGTTAAAGGCCTTTAATAAATACCTACTTTAACTCTGTCCAGCCTCTGTTCCAGGTAGCCACTCCAAGGCATCATCTTCACTGCCACTGCTTTGGCTGACACACTGAAACTCCTTCACCAAGAGCCTGAGTCACTGCAGTGAACCCAACCCCTCAGCACCACAGCAGGAGAGAACACCTCTTTGTGAAACACACTCTTCACTCTCTGGGTCTCATAATTCCCATGGATCTGGCTCCTGCTAGAATTATTTGTCCCTCCTTTCCTGACTCCATCTCTATCCACCAGAGCATGGCTGGATCTTCCTGGGATGTCTCCCTGCTCCTCCCTGGATTACCCCTTGTAGGAAAGGGAGACCCTCTCAGTTTCATGGTGCACAGGAAAGCCACAGGGGTGCATTTTGCAGCAGTGATGTGTTTGTCCCCGTGAAATCCTTGGCAGAAGTGTCCTGCTGAATGGAGAGGGAACCTCCCACCAACACTTCAGCAGAAAGCAATGGGACCATCCCTAACTGGTGTGGAACCTGCAGGGCTCAGCCCAGTGGCTACTCCTGACACTCTCCTGTCAGTCACTGCTCTTCCTGACTGCCTGAGAGGATGGCAGAGCAGGCAGTGGCAGGAAATCCTGCTCTTTCCCACCTTAATAACCCTAAATTTCAGCACAGTGGAAATTATCCTCTATTCAAGCAGTAGAAATGCAGAATAAATAACTCCATCTCACCTCAAAATGGCAGGAGACCCCAGATTTCCTGCAGTCTGTCCTGTCTGCCATCAGCAGCAGACGGAGGAGCTGTGCTCCTTACCTATGGATTCTCTCTGCCCTTTGGTAATTAAAGATGATGATCCCAAAATAGCAGAACTTCAACCCAAGCCTGGCTACAGACCACAGGCATTTCTCTGATGTGACTCTGATAAACCAGTGCCAGATGAACTCATTTCCAGAGAAAAGAACCACCTCAGTGCTCAGCTGATGGTTTTAAAATCTGGGCTGGTTTAGCCAATGGCACCTGAAATCAGCTCACAGCATGGAATTCACAAAGCTGCAGCCATCTTCTTTAACAAAATTATATTTTTGGCAAGAGACTTTTCTCATTAAATAATAGTTGACATTTTAAATGCCTTTTGGGAAACAAGCAACTGATCATTACATGACACTGCCCTTCTGTCAGGAATTCCCACGTGTCTGCACTTAGAGAAAATTCAAAGCTTATTAAGAGACCTTAACAAAAATCTGAGTAACAAAATGGTGCCTATGAGGAAAACTGACCATGTACAAAATGCTCATCAGCATCATGGACAGATTCATTCAGCCTCCCTGGATGCTCTGACATGGAATGGCAGCAGGAGCCCCAGACTGGCACTTCAGAGATGTAAATCCACCTCATTGCAGGGCTGACATCAGTTGGCACTTGGCTTTTGTGGTGGGAGCACACATTCCACATCCACATGGGCTAGATTCAATTTTATATCCCCTTTCTTAGAATCTCTGGAAATTAATTTCTAGCATCTAGAAATTAATAATTTCTAGTTTGTTTATCCTTTCAAAATGTTATTTTGTTAGAATAACAAATGAGTGATAAATTGAGCCATTGGGGTTAAAACTGTCCAAACTTTTCTGTCACTAGTGGAAGCCAAAACTTTAATTAGTTTTAGAAAGAAATTAAGCACTTATTTGGTTTGTTTTGATAAAAATAACCACATTAAACTGTCATTATTTAATTGAAGTGTGTCTTGCATCTCACAAAGTCCTCAGAGGAAAAACAGAGCAGCATGTGCCAACTTCCAAAATTTATGGATGAGATCAGCATTTGCTGAGTGCTGGGGTCCAAAGCAAACATGGAACAGCAGAGCTCAGAAACAGAACCTCCCTAATTCCACCAGAGCCACCAAATTCTCCATTGACTCTAAGAGTAATTTAGCTAAAGGAGAAAATTCCCCTTAGCATCTCCTGGTGTAAGTATTACCAATATTCATGAACTAAAAGTTGTGCAGTATTGGTTATAAATAGGGAGAAAGACATTCAGAGGCTTAATTAACTAGCTGTGTGTCTTCATAGGCATTAGCTGAAGCTGCACTGTAAAAAACATTAACTGTAAAACATTAAGAGAGAACTCAGATGACCAAGAAGAGGGAAAGATGATTTTTAACAGATTAGATCAACTGTCTCAGAGAAAAACAGAGATTCAGTCAAGGGAAAAAGAAAGAAGAGCAGTAATTGTTTGCAACTAGGATTTTCAAAGGCTTTTGTAGTATTTAGAGCTTACTTTCTCCAGCATCCTTTAAAGAACCCAGCCCTAGCATGAAAAATAATCCACCTTTGCTTGCACATGAGACCTACAGAGGCACTATCACACTGATGTGCATAAGCTCAGCAACCTTTTTTAAAGCAGGTTAATTTCTGTCAGAGCTGAGAATTGTTTCCATTTTCTTCCCTTCTCCCACCCTCACATCATCCTGAGTCAGCCCCTGTAGGGAAGCAGAGGAAAGGCAATTCTTTCTGAACATGGATGTAAAAATTCTGCTTTGGCTACAGCTGACACTGAACCAACCTCATCTAAAGGAAGGCAGCAAAGACAGCACCCTGTGGTTGTGGAGCTCAAGAGGTAAATGGGATTTTCCATCCTATAAAAAACCTCAGCTGTGCTGGCATGCTCACAGCAGCCTCCCCTTGTCCCCTGTGTGCCAAGGCATTTGCAGTTAGCCCCAAGAAGCAAAATGACCAAGCCCAAATGCACTGGATACTCCAGTGCATGCAAAAAGACTTTGACAACCTTGTTGTAGCTGAAAAAACTCTGCCTATGGAATGAAAACAGAGAAGTGACCCCTCGGAGGGCAGTTCTCAGAGAATTCTCCATCCAAAAAAACCTGGGGTCAGATGTAACCTGACTGAAACAGCCCTTGCTGAGATCAGGAGTGTAGGGACACATATTGAGAATAGTAAGAAAATTACAGCCTGAAAAATATTCCAGGCTGGAGCTTCTCAGCTCTGTTCCCAGCCGATAAGCTGGGCCAGCTGAAGGCTAGGGAGAATTTCTCCCAGGGTGATAATTTGGTCAGAATAAAAAGGAATTAATAACAAAGATAGAACACCTGTTGTGGTGTGTGCCCAGGCCCTGGCCATGGGGTGTCTTCTCTCTGAACCAATCACCTTTTCTCTACTCTTGGAGTTGCAGTCATGCTATAAAACCAAGTGTGTTTGTGAATAAACTTGGCTCTTTTTTCCTGTCATGACAGACGCCCATGTAGCTGTGCATCTTATTTCTGCCACACTTAAAGGGTTAAAACCCCTTTCCACGGCTACACAGGAGGGGATTTTGGCAGAGCTGTTCCACCATGTAAACCCACAAAAGGCAGGTTTAGCCCCAGGTTTCTGTCTGTACACCCTGAGCTCAGGATGTGCAATTCCTCTGTAAACTCTGTGCCCACCATCCAGCAGCATCAGTTCCTGAGAGTGAGAAAATGCCCAATGCTGCTTACACAGAAACTGAGCAGCACATGAGCAAAGCACAGAGCATGCCAGAGCTCCAGCCTTGTGTAAAAGAAAACTCAGCTATGTAGGGATTGAGAAATGCTTCTTCCCCCTCCTCCCTCTCCACTAAACCCTGTTACAAAACCAAATGCATCACAGACATTTTTATAGAGTTCTTCTTTTCCATTTTCAGTTTGGGGCTAGTGGTGACTAATACTCAGTCCATGGATTTCAACCTTGCCTTGCCTATGGGACACACGTGTTTGGGGAGGATCTGAATCAATGTTTTGAAAGAAAAACCCCAAAAAATTGGAATTGGGCAACATGGTGTGTATCTTGGCTGCCTGTAGGTTTCACCTGACCCCTGGAGCACTACAGCTGCTCTCTCCAGAATGCTGACAGGGCTGGGAAGGGCTCAGTGATGGGCCCTAGGGCTGACCTTTTCCTGAACCTCCTAACAAATTGTCTGCTGAAGCCCTGCCAGTCCTCTGCCACTGCGGCCCAGAAATCACTGCAGACTACAATGAAAGATTTGCTGTTCTCCCAGAACCCTCAGACAAGAACAAACCACCCCAAATCAGCTCCTGCTGCACTGAGTTTATGATGCTACAGAACTGCAGCACATCCTTAACACCTCTAGAGAAAAGCTGCCTTGTTTGAGAATAAGTTTCTCACTGAATTTACCCGAACACAGCCTTTGCCTCCTGCCTTCTTCCCCTTGTACCTATGCCCTTCTCTAAACTTGGTACCACAATTTCTGTGACTTTTCCTCCTCAGCAGCAATCAGAGATGCCATTCTTAGGACAGGATTCACCTCAGGCAACATCACATTCTCTCAGCCAGATGTGCAAACTCCCCTGGAAGCAGAGCTCAGGTCCTTTCAAAGGGCACTGCACAGACATTACCCTGCCACTGCCATGGTGCTGTGACACTGGAGAGAAGCCTGTGTCTCTACTCATCAAATAAACCAATAGTTCAGAGCAATTCCAACCCCTATGAAACTTGATTTTAACCTATTCCAAAGCTACAGCAACTGTGACATAATGTGAGGGAAAAATGTAATCAAATTTAAATGGTTTAACTGTAACCCATTTAACTGGTTAAAAATGTATATATTTAAACTTCCTGGGAAAAGTGATAGTTTTCCAACCTAAAGGGACAATTTTGGGGTCACTAATCTAAAGTTTTCTTGCAAAATGCTTTTACAAGGATTCACTCTGATTTTGAGGTGGTGATGCTCCATGAAAAACAGGTAGATGTAGTAGCAACATTTTAAAGAAAATCTGAATGTAACCATTCACTAGAGCTGGGGAAATGTTTTTGCATTAAATTCAATCAAAGAGGATGGGCAGGGACAAAGCCAGTCCTTAGAGCAACTCCCTGACATCACTTCCAAAAACACCCTAACGTGCCTTAGGTCACACAAGGGCTGTAAGGCCACTCATCAGACTCAAAGGCCACCCACAGTTCAGCTCCATCTTTTTATTGCTTCCTCAAAACATGTTTGTCTATCAAATTCTTGGACGAGTTTCCTCAGATGGGGAATAAAAATAATAAGAAAAGGAGGTTGGAAAGAGTCACACACATTTTTTTACAGCACTGAAATATTCAGCACTGGACCAGTGTGGAAAAAACTATTCCCAGGTCAGTACTCCTGACTGTCCAGCTCTGTCTGGGGAGGAAAATATTTGTTTGCCTGATAATGAGCATCATTTTGGCTCAGGGGCCATGATCTTGTCCAGTCTGACCTTCTGCTGTGTCTCAGGGGCTGGTAGTTGATGCAGATGGAATTCTCCATCACTGCCTTTTATGAGGAAGGGAATTTTTTGTTTACAAAAGAGTATCAGACAGATTTCAGCAAAGTCACGTTTATTTTTTTTATTACAGTCAGTATTTTGGGGCAAAACTAAAGTCTAGTCATCTAAACAGTGTCTGGAGTGAAAATTCAGATTAATCTGGGAGATGATTTATTTTTCTGAAAGGGGATATTTCTCCCTTGCCCAGTGGCAATGCACAGACTTCAAAGATTAAAAAACATAAGTCTAAACACCATATTAAAGAGCATAAACCCCTTTAGCAACAAGTTCCTCCTTTCCACATCCCTTTTCCAGCAGGGATTGCTTTCAGCCTAGATTCCATTACCTACCAATCATGGCATTTATCTCAGACACTTTCTTAAGGATAAAAATCCTTTATCCTCTTCTCCCAGATTCCTCATCTTTTTCAGACAGCACCTTGAGGTGTTCTCCCACTTACTTGTTTCAAGCAAAAATATGTGAATGCCTGGGATATCAGTTCAAGGCATATCCAGTGACACCTTCCACATAAACCTTTGGAATTGTGATCGACCCCACACCATTCTGGATTAGATGTTTGCTTCATAACATAAAAAGAGGAACTGTAAAATGACATAAAGCCCTGAGCATGACACAAGCTTCTTAGACTATGAGTTGAGCTGTATCAAATTTTGGATTTTAAATTGTTTTTTAATAGAAATTTTATTCTAGCCAGCACAACACAACTTTGCTGAGCCTATGAAGGTCAGAGTCAATGGAGGGTCTCTGTCCCAGCATGACACATATCAGACTTAAAATTCTAGTCTGGACATGCTTTCTGGCAAAGAGCAGCCTTAGAACATGTAAACCAGAGTATTTATCTTCTAGGAAGATAGAGAGTTCAGAGTCTACGCTATAAAAATATTGCCTCAAAAGTGACACAGCAGCATTCATTTTACTCCTGAATACTGAAAGCACTTTGATGACTCAGCCAAATCAGTGTCTCAAAGAATCATAAATTCACAGTGACTAGCAGGAAGGATTTTATTTACACATCTTGAAAACAAACAGCAGCTTCTATCTCTAAAACATTTTTTAAAATTTCATCTTGGAAAGATTTTCATGTAGCAATAAAGTTATCAGCATGTGAGATAAGTTTTTCCAGTTTCGAGTGATGACACTGAAAAACCCATATCAGTGACTTCCAAAGAAAGATTATTAAGTGGAAATCACAGTTGCTGTATCTGCCAGGCAATCAAGCCCATGTTTTTCCCTCTATGTAGATAATTTTGTCTTGCACAGATGGCTACTAGGGTACTAAAATGAATAAAATATGTTTGGATAACATGCTGTTATACAAAGTGATCTTGAGGATTTCTTCTTTCCAGCCTCAAGAGAATTTCCAGGATAAACCAGTCTGAATATGCTTTAATGTGTTGACAAACTCTGCATGTCACTTTGGATATTATTATTGTGCAACTTAAACGCCCAAACCATTGAAAAGCCTGAGGAACTTGGATGCTTTAATCACTTAAGGACTTGTGAAAACGTGGAGCTCTATCACTGTTTGAATATTCAATAATTTTCCTAGCGCCATTAATGATAATTAATTTTAGATTCCCTTCTGCTTCAACCCAAAACAAAGACTGGAGCAGATTCAGTCAGACAGATCCATGGACAAGAGCCTTTGGCTGCCTGGGAGGAGACTCAGCCTGTCAGGGTGTAGTCAGAATATTTACTTGGTCATGATTTTATCCCAGTTGAAGCACAGTGAATTTCATCTTTGTGATTAAATTGTTCAGACTTTTAAGAGACTTCTTGCTTGCAAAGACAGAGTAAGAATTTTTTTTCCTTACTTATATCATGCTGTTTCTTTCCATTGCTCTTTCACTACTTGAGCTAATTTTTGATTTTCCCAATGTGATATCAATACACCGAGTTGAATTCACCACTTCATTTCAGACAAATTTCTCTGTTAAACACTAGCATCAGTGCCATCACTGAGAAATTCCCCTCCTGACTGACCAGCTTAGAAATCTTTAGAATCCAAATAATCTCTCTCCTATCTTTTGCAATGACTACTGGCAGTCATAGGAATATTCACGGTGCCCAACCCCACAGCACTTCCCAGATAACACAAAGTGTTTGATTTGCAATTATGGATTAGAAGCTACATTCTGGGTAAAACAAAAAGGATCCAGACCTCCAGTTCCTGTTGTGTGCTCAAAACACCAAAAAATTTCCTCTAAAGATGAAGATTCTCTACGAATATTTAGGAATTGCTGTGAGAACTTCATCATCTTTATTTAATCAAGGACTAATAGCTAAAGTAAAGTCAGTGAAAGCCCTAAGGAAACATTTCTTAACTCTCAAAAGGCAGGAGAAGAGCCTGTTTCTAATAATGTTGAGGTTTGCCAGTGTTGCTTTTCCCTTGTCTTACAGCATAAGTATTTACAGTTCAGCCATTATGTTCATTGGGGGCGATGCTGGTTTTTAATTTTTTGCAGATTTTGGAATGTCTGCACAAGTAGCTTAAGCTGATGTCCCTGTGTTTTCCAAGCACAACCTCCCCCTCTGGGTGTGCAGTTTTCACTCCACCCAAATGCAGAGCTGCAGGGCAGATTCTCAGCTCTAAATCATCATCACTTCAGCTAAACCAAGGGCTGATGTTGCTTTATAGGTGCAAGTCCCCTCAATCCACCTCTGTCCACTGGCAGATGCAGCTTTGGTTTGGTTCATGAGATATTCATCATTTTAGGGAAATAAAAGTGCTCATTAAGACCAGGAAGGAGAAATGTCATGGTTGGATTACATCTGAAATATTTGGATTAAATTTGAGTTATTCCTCTTACAGTGCAGACAGCAGCTGTTTGAGCAGTCACATCATGTGCCCAAATGTGAAAAGCAGCTTTTAGGCAACTGTCACTTCTGAGGAGTTTTATTTGTGGAGAGCAGGGTCAGGGAGGGAAGCAGGAGGGAGGAGAGGCCAGAGGACAAGGTGCTGCATTCACATCTCCATTTAGGGAGGAAAATCAGATGTCCAGGGCTTAAATGCCCTTATCTGAAGGGAGGAGGAAACAGACAGCAGTGATCATGCACAGCAAATGCAGCTCTGCACAAAAATGGATTATCTATAGTGTTATCCTACTGACCCAGGGAGACAAAATGCCTCATTTTTTTTTCTTTTATCAGTCCCACTTTAAGCTTCCTTAAAGCTCCTGTGGTAAACCTGCAGCAGCAATAATACTCCAAACCTGCAGACCAAAGCACAGCCCACAGGTGGATCACTGCTAAGTGAGATTTAATTTTTTACTCACCATCACAGGACTGAAGATTTAGTACAGTCTTAGGAAGAAAACCAACCCTATTTTGATAATTATTCACAGTATCAGGCTAGAAAGGGCTGTCTCCAGACAAAAATCAGACCTTAATGTGCTTTATACAGCACAGTCACTCTTTATTAACCAGGAGTCTCTTGTCCACCTCCCAAGCTCAGGAAGGGCCACCTGGAGCAGGCAGTGCCCAGATGACTCCTGGACAGCTCCAGACAGAGATTCCATTTCCATGAGGAGCTCATTGGTCAAAGTTCAGTGCATGAAAATTGTAAGATAACACTTGCTCTTAACAAAAAGTGTATTTTTCTTGAGGAACAACATTTTATTTCCTGAAAGCTGAAAAAAAAATGCAAATTCAAAATGCTTTAGCCTTTGTGATTAAGTTAGAAACAATGCCACATACAGGCAAGACTGTAGTTCTAAATGGTTCTTTCAGCTGTGAAGGATTTTTAAAAGCTTCTTTTTAGCCAAGGAAACATACATTTTAATTTAATCTTTAAATAGAATTAATCTTGAAGGAAACATACATTTGGATCACAGGAGCACAGCATGAAATTCAAATAAATTACTCTGCAAATCGAAGGCAGAATGGCTTTCTAAACCTCAAATTCCAGCTCATCCCAAATACCCTTTTAAATATGGAAATAATATGACAAAAGCATGAAGCTCTTCACACAGAAAGCATATTTTGGATGTGGATGCTTTCCAGTCTTGTTCAAGAGCGTTGACAGAACAATATTTCAATTTCCTTTGCAACTGGCATGTTTAGGCTGTAATTTTTCCTTCAGAGAAGTCAGACATTTAATTCTTTCAGAAGACTAAATCAATGAACTAACAATTACTGTAAGAAGACTTATGCTAGCTGGGGATATGATCCTCAGGCTTTTTGTTTTACAGTCTCAAAATAAATTTTACCATGTCATTCTTACCATCACCACATTGCCTCAGGACAAACAGAAACTGTTTGAGAAACCAATTTTCATCTAATGACATCTGAACCGACTAAATAAAACCTGACATTTGAAAGAAATATTCAGAGCTTGGAGTTGTACTGTTTGTGTTCTAGAAATGACATTGAGGTCGTTTAATATTTTTTTCTTTAAAGGAAACAACCACAACACCATAAGAAAGCCTTCATCCAGTCTGAGGGAGGGAAATACAAACTGGAAAAATTGCCAAGAGAGAAGATGACAAAATATTGGCATCTGGAGAGCTGTCTGCTTGGCAAGCGTGCATGTCATTTACAAATGTTTGCCTTTAATGATATTCCTGGAAGACTTGGGTGAATAATGCCACTGAGCAAGCTGCCACTTTGCAAATGCTGCCACTTCATGCTATGGAAATAAAGGGTGGCCACTGTGGGGTTTTTGCTTCCTGTCACGACACAGCCAGCAACGAAGGGCACAACTAAAACCAAAGAATTTTCTGATGTGACACCAGGAAATTTGATTGAGCCATCAAATTGATGTCACACGGGGTCCACTCAGTCACCAGGCTGTACTGGAGAGGTCAGACCTGGAGGCTTTATAGTTCCTTGCTCATCTTTTCTTCTGGGCAAGCCCCATCTTAACAACATTTTCCAGGCAAAATAAAAAAAATAAAATTATGGAATTCATAGAATAAGGGTGAGCAACAGCTCGGTTCTGGGAACATTTCGGCAATTCCAAGAAGAAACGTGTCACAACTTCCCCAGCTGAAAACATTAAGGACAAAATATTATGGGAGGAATGTTTTATCCAGTCAGAAACCAAGATGGAAACATGCCAAACAATGTTTTCATGATGCCTCCCATACTTAGCCTCTTGGGGGACAGACAAGGTGACAAACAGAGCACAGTGAGATTCCCAAAGCTTTGAAAGGAACCAAAACCCCTGACATTAATATTGAGGTGTACCAGCATAAATCACTGGTGGGAATAAAAGTGATTAAAATATGTTTATAAGTTTCTAATGTTTAGAAAAGGACACTTCCTTAAAATAACATCCCCAAGAGAACAAAACAGTGTCTGCTTCAGTCTCAACAGAGCCTCTTAAATTAAACACCCATCCCAAAAAAAAGTGAGGTTTTTTTGAGTGCTCCCATATTTTCATTTTGCAAATTAACACACAAGACTCTTCAGGGTGAAGCACTCTGCCAGAGCTGGGCATCACCAGCCTGCTGCAGAAAGGTGAGGAGAGACAAAATCCTGGAACAATGCAGAATTCCTGATCCTGTTTCTGGTGGACCTTCACAGACACAGAAATGGAGCCCATCTGAATGAAATTTTATCACTTCTCTGGGTTTCTTGCTTAGAGGCACAGCACACTGCACCCACCTCAGCCTGGATGTGGCCTGCAGACCCTGGCCTGGGCAAATGGGACCTGGACAAGACCCCCGAGAGTCCCAGCCCCTGCCAACAATAACTGCTGGGAGGGATTCAGGGGATTAAGAGATCCCTCCCTGTTTGTTTGGCTGGGTGAGAGGAGTCCTGGGGGCACCACACACAGCTCTGCTCCAATTCCTGCCTCCAAGAAGCACACAGCTGGGAAAGAAAGTGCTTAACAACACATCTGCAGCAACCCTTTGTGTCTGCTGACTGCCCAGTCCAGTTACTTCTCCTTGGACCCATCGTCTTTCCAATCACTACTCTTAGAACAAAAAAAAAAAAAAATTATATTTCCTTTATAAAGCTACCACCATTCAAATCCTACAGCACAGATTCCAGGGCTCTGCCTGCCTTCCAAATGCCACAGATTTGCCCTGGGGTGCCAAAGTGCAAACACTGCTCCACCCTTCAGCATCCTGCTTCCCAAGGCCCTGCCCCATGTCATGTACACACATCCATGTGCAGATATCCATTTAAACACATCCCTGCCTGCCTGCTCTGGGTTCATGCCCTCACAGCCCACCATCCAGGCTTTATTTTTGTGTTAGAAATCGGGTTGGTCTCGTCACAGACAGAAATGCTGTTGCATATGAATCGAGATTTCAGCTTGCTGGGGGGTTACACTGGTGAAATTGGTAATTGTATGTGAAGTTTATATTGCTTAATTTAAAATTGTCTTGGGTAAAATGCAATCCAATATGAAATATTTACTGTTAACAGGATTCTCTCAGGGTCCAGTGCCCATCAGATTATCAGAGACAAGCCTGTTAATAATTACTTTGAGGCTTTGGTGACAAAGGTTACTTTAGAATAATAATAATAGGCCAAACCTGCAGACAAAGTCAACACAGGTTTATCAGCTTGTCTGGTGATAGCAGAACACCTGCAGAAGCTGAGGCAGGGCTTGGAGCAGAGATGTCACAGCCACTGAGAAAGGATCAGTGTCATGTGGAACATGAATTAGCACAGTGGTCATGGTCTGTGCATTTCAACCCTCCCATCTCCTTTTCTGGGATAAACAT